AAGCGTTGTCAAACACTGAATACCTGTGACATCATCATTGGTGAGACCGTCGTGATCTGGTACACCTTATTGCAACTGTGAGTCTGTTCCTTTTTGGGATTTTTATATATCATTGCCTTATTTTTTATTTTTTTTAAACATTGTGATTTTTTTTCGTGTTTTTCTTGGATATATATATATTTTTCCCCTCGTTCATTATCGTACTTCATATTTCATCATGACTGAACAGACACCTAAAGTACTCAAGCTTAAGACCTTGTCCCCACCTTCGTTTCAACTGATGCCTTTCTGGCCCGACAACATCGAAGCCTGGTTTTGCTACGCAGAAGCCGACTTCTCCGAGCACGGCGTGATCGACACACGTGCACAATTCCTCGCAGTAGTCAAGGCACTACCGCGCGAATTCAACAGGTACGTAACACCTAGTATGTTTACTAGTGATGTTTCCGATCCTTACGAAATCTTAAAACGCTCGATTCTTAAACGAGGAGACCTAACCGATCGACAAAGGTTAGATCAACTCTTCAATAACATCGACCTGCAACACGGTTCTGCGACAGACATGTTGCAACGGATGAGAGAGGTTATAGGCCCAAGAACTTTCGACGAAGGTCTATTCAAACAACTCTTCTTGTCAAAACTTCCCCAACAGGTGCAAGCAGTTCTGGTCTCGTTCCAGAACAACGCCTTAGACGAACTAGCTGCATCTGCCGACCGCATTCTAGAAATTACGAAACCTACTACCGAGGTATTTTCAGTCAAAGAAAAGCCTCACACGACTCAGAATGATATAACCGACTTATGTCACACACTCACGCGTTATCTTAGTCTTCGTACCGACCGTAAGAGATCGCGCACACCACGTAGAAGCATTTCTCGTAAGCGATCTGTCTCTAGACCACGAGAGACAGATAACCCCGACTGGTGCTGGTATCATAACCAGTATGGAAAGTTTTCCAGAAATTGCAGAAAACCCTGCAATTTTCCCAACACGAAACCGACTGATTCGAAAAACAATTCGGGAAACTTCCAAGCCGGCACGCGTTAACGGCAACCGTAGCCGGCGAACAAAGCCGTCTGTTATTCGTCACAGATGTGACAACGAGAGTTCGCTACCTCGTCGACACTGGCGCAGAAGTTAGCGTTCTCCCAGCAAATCCTAACGACCGACTTCACGAATCGACCCTAAACTTACAGGCGGCAAACGGAAAACCGATCGCTACGTATGGCAAAAGGTACGTTTACCTTAACGTGGGTTTACGCAAACCCATCCACTGGATTTTCGTCGTTGCAGATGTTTCTATGCCAATCATTGGTATGGACCTTCTACAACACCACAATCTGATCATCGACACTCGCAAACGGAGGCTAGTAGACGGAAACACTAATTTGTCCGTTTGCGTAACTTCTTTTACTGGTTGTAGAGTATCCCCAGTCACAGTTAAACATATGATAGACCCACTCTATCAACCACTACTCGATAAGTACCCTGGGATACAACAAACTCAACCGAAACTACCGTGTGTAACCAGCAATGTTACACATCACATCACGACTACAGGACCACCTGTATTTTCTAAAGCACGACGACTAGCTCCTGAAAAGCTAAGGTTAGCGAAAAACGAATTCGATCACATGATGGACTTAGGAATCATACGACCGTCAAGTAGCCCATATGCATCTCCGTTGCACATGGTCCCTAAAAAGGACAGCAACGATTGGCGTCCAACTGGTGACTATCGGCGATTGAACGCGAAAACCATTCCCGATCGTTACCCGTTGCCTCACATTCACGATTTGACAGCTACCTTGAAAGGTACAACTGTCTTTTCGAAAATCGACTTGGTTAAAGCGTATAACCAAATCCCTATGGCTACTGACGACATACCGAAAACAGCTATCATAACTCCCTTCGGACTCTATGAATTTTTGCGAATGCCTTTCGGTCTAAGGAATGCTGCTCAAACATTCCAAAGATTCATAGACGACGTTTTTCGAGGTCTCAACTTCGTACACGCGTATGTTGACGACTGTCTAATCGCAAGTCCGGACAGAGAAACACATCTCAAGCATCTGGACCTTGTTTTCGAACGATTACAAAAACATGGCATAACTGTAAACGTTCAGAAATGCCAATTTGGAACCGACTCGTTAGACTTTCTGGGACACACTATCGATGCTCAAGGTATCCGACCCCTTAGAACCAAAGTGGCGGCCATTCTGGATTACCCAGAACCGACCACCGTCAAGCAATTACGCACGTTCAACGGCCTGGTAAGTTTCTATAGACGTTTCATACCCAAATGCGCATTACTTATGAAACCTCTGACCGACCAACTTCGTGGAAATGCGAAATCCATTAATTTGGACGACACCGCACGAAAAGCATTCTCCACAGTTAAGGAACTGATCGCTAAAGCAACAATGCTCGCACATCAGGACACCCGAGCACCCATTAGCATCGCAGTAGACGCATCCGACTCAGCAATCGGAGGAGTCTTACAACAATGGGTTAACAACTCCTGGCAACCCTTGGCATTTTTCTCTAGAAGGTTGCTAGACACCGAATCGAGGTACAGCACATTCGGTAGGGAACTCCTAGCTATGTATTGTGCTGTACGGCATTTCCAACACTATATCGAAGGCCGTGAATTCACTCTTTTCACCGACCACAACGTCTTCAATACGTTGCACAAACTTTCTCATCCAGGTGTTCGTGCAACCATCAAGCTTATAGCAGAACGATTTTGCTGGCGTGGCATGAATAAAGACATGAGGGAGTGGGCACGCTCCTGTGTAAGCTGCCAAAAATCTAGGGTTATCAGACACAATAAATCTCCCTCAGGCTCGTTTAAAACTCCCGATGCTCGTTTTGACCATGGTCATCTGGATTTGGTAGGACCCTTACCAGATTCAAATGGATACGCTTACCTCTTAACCTGCGTAGACCGTTTCACTTGATGGCCAGAAGCAGTACCTATCAAGGACATCACTGCTGAAACAGTGGCCCGCACCTTCGTCGAACGATGGGTAGCAAACTTCGGCTGCCCTTCAACCATCACTACAGACCGCGGACGTCAGTTTGAATCTGGTCTTTTCCGTCGTCTGACCACACTTTTAGGAATCGCTCGCTTCCGAACGACCGCCTACCACCCACAAGCAAACGGGTTGGTAGAACGTTTTCACCGACAACTAAAAGCTTCACTATCAGCTGCAAACGTTTCACAGTGGACGGACGCTCTTCCACTCGTCTTACTAGGTATCCGCAATGCAGTGAAAGCTGACGTTGGATACACTGCGGCTCAACTCGTTTATGGAACGACACTTCGACTTCCAGGAGAATTCGTGGATCCTTCGTGCTCTTCGATGAACATGGATCTAACCTCCTACACGAACAGGCTTACAAACGCAATGCGTTCAGTTAAACCTGCTTCCACTCGGCCACAATCAACCGATGTTTTCGTTCAAACTGACTTACGATTTAGTACACACGTTTTCGTTCGTCGAGTCTCGCATCGACGACCATTCGAATCAGCATACGAAGGACCTTTCAAAGTTCTTCAACACGATCCGAAGTACTATATGGTCGATAAGAACGGAACCAACGATAGCATCAGTATTGATCGCTTAAAAGCAGCGTATTTAGAAGGAAATCCTATCTACGTCGATTTTCCTTCGGTACAATCGAACGACATGACTCCACTCATAATTCCTCAACCGAAAACCAACACTGGCGATGATACTCCGAATGTATCTGAAAACAAACTTAAAACGACGCGTTCTGGAAGAAGAGTTAGATTTCCAGAACATTTAAACGACTACTGCACGCAAGACACTACTCGACATTTTACATTATCTCGATTTTTCATTTGACAATGTATAATATTAAAAAAAACAATTTTAATATGCCTATATGTTTATATTTTTATTTTAAAAAAACAAAAAAACAAAATTATTTTTTAACGCTATTACGTGTGCTTGAGTTTATTTTCCATTTTTTCGCCGACATTGTGTTTTTACGCACATACGAGTGTATTTCGACATGCACTTACATATTCTTTTTTCTTTTCCAGGACGGCTGGAAAAGAACGATGCAGTTTACGAGGAGTCGAAATTTTCGTTGTAACTTTTTCTTTTTTTACTATGTTGTACCTCGGTCCCATATAGTAAGGAAAGACGACCAGACGCTGCTACACTTAGTAAGCTATCAGAAGAGTGTTTACCAACGACAAACTCGTTGGGTTTAAACTTCTGGCTGGCCACGTCTTAGGGTCGTCACTGCCCCACTAGGGGGGGAGTGATCTGTAGCGGTAAATAAATCCCCAAAATAAATAGCCCTGTAAGCTTTCGACATCGGATGCTGACCATATGTTTTAGTGGGCTCATCTAGCTGAAGGCGCTCGGTCAGGCATCCGTACCAGATCACGTGTGGTAACGCCGTGCTCAACATCAACCGCAATCGCTAGCCAGATTAGATCAGAGAATTCCAATATATTGATCATCGCCAAATATACTCTTCCGATCTCCTCGACTCTGTCTTTTGAATTCTCTTGGTGGGAACGAAATATATTAGAAGGTGTTACTGGTAGAAGTGTTGTGAAACACTGAATACCTGTGACATCAGTCGCGTTTTACTTGATTCCTTCCCTTATTTAGTTTCATTTGGTTTCCACGCTCTCCGTTACTACCAGGCTAGGATCAAGCATTCAAGAGACAATCCGGAGCATATTTTCATGGAGGACATGAGTTGTTCGAGTCCAATAGGGAGAACGTTCATGTCATGACATTTCCATAGGTTACGTTTAGACCCATTGTCGGCCTCCTGGAAGCTCTTGTGATTGAGAAAAGTACCTCAAACTGTAACTAACACTTTCGCGATTCATGTTGAAACACATTTTTCTCGTCCTGGTGATACACTACCACTATTCACAATTGTTTTTTTAAGCTAAAAGCCGAGAAAAACATTCGGCCTAAAAAATGTAGAATTTCAAACACATCAAATGGTCAAACGTGTTTCCGTTCTCGGTTGCGGTTCTTGGGGTACTGCTATAGTCAAAGTTGTTGCTGACAATGTTGCATCGTCAGGCGAGTTCTATTCCGAGGTTACTTGTCCTAAATATGGTTTTACCTCACAAATGTTTAGGTTTATTGGTATGTACGAGATGAAGAACATGACGATCAAAGTTTAACCACCTGGATTAATAAAGATCACACAAATCCCATCTATTTATCAAAATTAAAATTGCCTACAAATATAATCGCATCTTCCGACATCAGAAAAGTTGTTGAAAGTGCTGATATTATCATGGTCGCCTATCCTCCGTTTTACATCATATGGTTGGTAAACCATGTCAAAGAATTTGTCAAGGAGAACGCTTATTTTGTTTCATTTTGTAAGGCAAGTTTACAAAAATCTCTTTACCGCTTTTAATCACATCTGGTTTCATGTTTGTATATATCCCTAGTTTTGTAGGGTACATTCTTTTTATGTAGTTTGTGAGTACCAAACTCTGTAATAACAGACTTTCTTTGATTAATTTAGACACTTGCTACTGTTAAATTTTACTGAATAGTAGGATTATCGGCTAAAATTGCTTAAAAGTTTAAAATATTGGATTTGAGTATCAGATCAGACCAGTTACTTCTGTTAATTATCTAATCCATTCGTATATTGCCATGTTAATATCACCCTAATTTGAATATCATAAAATTCAAGGGATGTGATCACTTATCAAGGTGAAGTGACAATTATTACTGCTATAAAGATTGGTAGTTCAAGTTCATCCAATTTAGACACGTAGTTATTTCTCATGTCTTTGCGTTACTAAACTGCTAGATTACCTTTACTAAGATGACTGTTAATATTGTAAAAACGGAAGTCGGAATACGATATGATAGGGAGTGCTATATTTTGTCCATGTCGTACTAGCAAACAGGATATATAATTACCAGAAATAAGCGGAAGTGTACGTTGTATGGTGTTGTTTCAACAATTGTTGTATGAAATGTCATGTGAATTTATATAGCCCATAGACTTAGTGCGATGAGATTACCTGTAAGGCATAAAATATTTCGTATATATGTGAAAATTTTCAAGGACCGAGGTTCATAACTCGTCACACAAATGGATATAGCATAACCCATTGGGTGAACATGACTCATTTACTTATCATTTGGTTGTTCAGCCTTATTGCCAATTTAAACAATAACAGGCTTGATAAGATAGGTGCTATTTAAGTTCTTAATGTATGAGATTAGGCTCATGCTTTAGAACATGAGCTTTCAAAAATATACTTAGTTATGATAAAGGTCTTTTGTCTAATATTTGCTTCTCGTTTACAATAGTTTGGTGACAGTCAAAAAATAAATCTAGTTGCTGAGAATACTTGCACGTCTTTTATACTTGGAACAATATAGACATTTTGGAGGCAGAAAAAAGCGATTATCTAACAATTAATAAAATATGTGTAATTATGTATGCACTCACTTTTATAGTACAACAAATAAGTAAAGTTGTGGGTCATAAGATAATTATTTATTTTTGATAGTTTTGAATTAGTTTAATATATTTATAGGAAAGTAATCCCCATACAGATTACTTTTGGTAAATTGGCTTATAATTTCCTAAGACGTTTTATTTCAGCCGCAAGAGAAAATATAAAGCTTTATTAACGATTATCACCACTATTTTTATTCCTGTCACTGTCAATTAAAATTAATTTATTCATAGACCTTTTTGAGTCTAAACTTGGGGATAGGTTTTGAGAGTTTTGTTAAGTTTTACCCTATGTAAACATTCGACTTCAGTGTTACGCTTAAGATTTCCATTAACATGATGGTTCTGCAGTAAATTGAGATTAAAATTGAAGAAAAACAATCAAAACTGAGAATAAGATACTTATCTTCTATCTAGTCTTACATAGACGATGCTATTTGAGTATTTTATGGTCAGCTATGCCCCTAACTGGAATTATTGTTAAAATATAAGTATGAAAGATACTTAACGTTACTGTTTGATATTCTATGAAAGTAAGTTGTTCTATTTATTTGCCTACGATTCAGCTTTTTTAGTAATGAACAGTTGTTACTATACGCTTCTAATCAGACAACATGAACACCAATATCCGTCATCCTTCTTGGATTTCTCCATGTTGGCGCACCTGATTCTTAGTCTTGATGTCCTGTTGAGACTCGGACATAGTGTCTGTTGCTCTAAACGCCAAGTTATCCACTAAGCTATTGAGTGCAGAAAAGTAGAGATCAAAATATGTTGTATCGGAAAACAAACACTCAAGATATTTTTAAAACCAAATATTGTAGGAGAGGAGTATAAACACTAAAGATGGGTAAATGCTTTAGTACGCATTCGTTTTTGATTATCGGTATTTTTCAACTATATTTTGGATTCGATTTTATTTATTTATTTCACTAAGTCTATAGAATAAAACAAAATCACAGGATTACGTGTTGTGAGGTTTTTTAGTGTAAATGCGATTCTCAAGTAGTTTATTCCTCTCACTATTCAATAATAAATGGAGCCATTAATTAGCATCAGCCAAAGAATTACTGCTTATCAGTTTGACCCATTTGATCTAATTTTTAAAGCGAAACCTTTATTATCAACAAAAGTTCACTTTCTTATATACTGCTATGGAAACATAACATAGTGATCTAAAAATGCAGCTACTGGTGTCGGAATTTATCGACTCAGCGAAAGTGAAACCTTAGATTTATATAAATTCTACTTTTACCATAGTTTAGCGTTAATTAAATTATGAACTATCTGTTGTTAGCTAATCCGGGTTTTTGACTGGTTGAAATTAGTTTTTTTTTTCTATGGAAAATTAATATAAGTGATAAACGCAAAAACGATTCAAAATACTAAATTATTTGCTTACAAAAAAGCTATAAAGATCATAGACTTACTTAACAAAAAAAAACCTGCATTTCCTCAAAGTCGACACGCAAGATGAAAATTATAAGTGCTTGGTGGGCCCATGGCCTCCCTAAAAATTCCTTCATACACTCCACTTTTATATGTTAATTATATTTGGATAGTAGACTGAAGTCAACTCTATGGCACGTTTTGTAAGCTTTTTTTTCACCAGACTTTTCACAAAAGTGTGTGAAGACATGTGGAGAGTTAACTAGTTCCGAATAACCCTTTCATGATTTGCGACTGACATAATCTGGTTTCTGACAATAAAATTGTCAGTTTGAAAGATGTTTAAAAGTATGTGCGCGATTGTGATCTTATGAACATACATCTACCCACTAGATAAATCCATGGTTTTTTAAGTCGTAACCAATCATTTTACTCACAAGTGGGAAACTGGTTTAGAATACTGAATGTTATGTCAAACTTGTTTAATAACTTTCAAAACAACTTGATGAACATTGATGTCTATTTGTTTATTTGATCTGTTTCGTTGTAATATGTCAAGAAGTTACCATATCGTCACCTTTTATGTATGCCAATAGACGTTTGTTTAAAGCTTATTAATATGTAAAAAAAGAGTCAAGCTTAGAACTTAAATATTACAAACTAACAAGATTGCCGTTAACTTTTCAATTTCAACCAATTGACACGATGAAATATCTAAGTGAATGCTACAAAGTAAAACCGACAATTTTGCCATCAAGAGGAATAAATGAAAAGTAATAATCTATAAGCATACTATTTTTTAGATAATCGGTCAACTTGAGAGAGTAACCAATGAACTCTCTGTCGTTTTCAGTGATTCGAGGTATAAAGTACTTTTGCTATAGGGTTAGTACGTGGGCTTTATGAAGCAATCACAATGTATGAGTTGGGTCGCTTGAGGTATATCATTATAATCATGTATTGCATTCAACGATAATTATTACTTTTGTCTTTAAAATTCAATCCACCAAAGTAGATCATTGCGAACAGTCTAGGTAATAAAATAACACCGGTTCATAGTGAATTCAAGATTTGGACTCGTTACAATTTTAAAGGCAAATTCTGAGTAAAATATTATAGACAACTTATCAAAAGTGTTTTTCGTTGAGTTGTTGCCTATATGAACTGCTTTATGATTATTTTCTTCTTGAAAGGTATGCATAAAACAATTCTACTTTAATTAGAATAATCCTACATTTCTGACATATCTTCTTCCCTAATTTACTATTAACGTAATAAGTCTGAGCTAGAGTTTACTGAAGACTTCTTTCCTCGATAATTAAGTGTTATCAAGAGAACTCATTTTACAAAAAAATATTTAAGTGGCCTGATTTATGATCTTTAGAGGATTGAGTTTTGCACAAAGTACATTTTCAGTGTAAACTGTAGAAATATGACCTAATTTGAATGACATAGTCCATCGATACTTTAAAAATTTTCCTAAATCAAGTGACTGAATAATAAGCAATAAAAATTCTCCATAATACCTTAAATCTTACTAGTCCAAAAGAACACAAATAAAATTAACTGAGATTATACATGTGAAAAAGATCAGTAATTTGTTTCCAAAGAGACAGTACTTTTTTCTATCAACATCAAAATACAATGGTAAAGTAAATTATTTGTTAATATTAATCAGTTAAGTAGTAGTAACAGCATAAAACGTAAAAACCACTTGTAGAGCTGTAAAAAAGTAGATTTCATTAGTTAGTGGATTATAACATTGATTTCCAGTTTGGTCATGTGTTGTCATGTATCCTTCTATACGTGAAAGTGTAAGAATGGGTTTCTGGCTCAGTAAATAATACCAGTTATTATTATTACTAACATTATTACTATTACTATTGTTGTAAATTTTTGTGATTAATGTTGAATTTAAAGTCTAACATTACGTCCTGACACTGGTTAATACAACAGTTGATGACAAGGAAACACTAGGTGGAGTGAGAACTCGGCAGCACACATCCACAAATCCACCATAGATTGAACTCACAACCTTCAGGCCATATGACTAGTTTTGAACCTTCAAATAACTAGCTTAACGTCTACTGGCTAACATTTTGAATTTAACTCATTTCGCAATATTCCCTGTCACTGTTGATATTTGTTTCAGACTCGACATGATTGATCTCCAGTAGTCATAGATTTTCACTAGGACTTTGGGCATTGTCTCTCGAACTTAGCCAACAGTAACTACACAATGCGTGGCATTATTCAATATTGAGTAGACTGTTTATTTATATTATTAGGATCAGACTAAGGTTCAGAAATTATTATTCTATTAATTGCCACGTGTACTAATTTTTCTAAATGATAATTTATTTTGTTCAACAATGTATTTCTTAAATTTAGGGTCTAATTTTATGTCCTGGAGAAAATAGAATCAGGCTAGTAAGCGATCTTATACGAGAGAAAACTGGTAAACGTTGTTTGGTTGCTATTGGAGCAACAACAGCTCTTGAAGTGGTTGAAGAACAGTTCACCGAACTAACTATTGGTTCTAAGAGTCTTGAATGTGGACATGAAGTTAAAAGACTTCTTCAGGTAATAACAGGTGGATATAATGAATATCTCTGAAGACCTTTGGCAATAATTCAATTTTTAAACTACAAAAAAACACTGTTTATAACATCACAGTAAGGACAGAAAATCTGAACACTGTTTATCTAAGATTGCTTTGAATTCTGTTCAAAAAATTCGATAATATTCAAACTATATAATGAAGTAGCACAATGAAGTTGTTAGTTTTTAGTATACTGGTCATCTAATTAACATTTAATGTCAATCGTCTCCATTAGTCGTTTAGTTATTTGAAGCATTGAAAAAGGAAATTAAAATTTCTAACGAGATCTACCAGGAAAATCAATTAAATTAAATGAAAATTTTCAATCTCATCAAACTGGTGACATGACCCATCCTCTTTGGTAAGCTATCATACCTGAACTCGATGGTGAAAACGAATAAAAAACCCTAAGAGGCTGTCTTTAGGAATGTAGAGTGAATTTATTTTACAGCCCACTTGTATTGGCAAGTGGACTGACTCCGAAGTGAATATATAAATGTATACCTCGGCTACAAAATATAGTATTTAACACAGCTCATTTCTGTTTGGATTTGACATACTATTTATTCTCAAGATATTGTACAGGTTGTTTGATTTCCTCAACACATCACAAACAAACAGTTAAATAATCATCCAACGAAATGATTTCGAAAAGATTCTAATCTCGATTTCAGCAGCTAATCAAAAGCAAGTTGAAAGTGTCCCACCTTAAAAGCTGCATTAGAATTTGTGATGAATAACATAGCTTCTTATGTAATTGGTACAATCTTAAATATACATAATTTGTTGAACATGAAAAATGATATGCTGGTTGAGTCCGGGCATATGACATCCATATGAGCATATGGTAGATGGAAGCTTTCAAAGGAAGTAAGCTTTTATTTCAAACAGTTTATGCAATTCATTATGTTTCGGCGTATCTATCGGGAATAGATAAATAGATATATCAGAAGGGGTTTGTGGAGATTTTAGAAATTTCACAGATTGAAATCATGAGTCAGTTGAAGCTAGACCACCATGGAAAACCTGGAAGCACTGGACGGCCGTTTCGTCCTAGTATGGGACTGCTCAGCAGTGCGCATCCACGATCCCGCACCCCTAGGACCTACTGGTTTCGCGCGCGAGCGCTTAACCATTAGACCATTGAACCGGCCGGCATCCAACGGTGTTAATGTCTAACTTCAACCAATCCACGTAGCTTCAACTGACTCATGATTTCAATCTGTAAAATAGATATATACCAATGAGTTTGTGTACATTTTGATTCGACTTGAAAATTACATATTCCCAGTTATCTTAGTCTTCTTACTCACACACCAATTTAAAATTGAGTATAAGGAGCGTGTATGTTAGCATTGGATTGGTGGAGTATAGAAAGAACCAAGTTGGAAACACTGAACAAATGAATCAAATAATGGAAGTCAGTATTGTTAAAAAGCTGTTCCAGTAGTACTTTAGCCTCTGCTTTCGTACACAGAAGTACATGGTACCTCTAATATTTAATCATACTGAAACAGTAAATTCCGAATTTATTTAAATCAACGAATTTCCAGTATTCTTAAATCGAGACAAACCTTGCAAGTGTATAAAAGTAATCACAACTGTATGCTATAAACTCATCAGTTTAACGCAGCTCAACATATTTTATGAAGACACAAATGAAATATCAGTTATGGCTTACAATAAAATTTCTAATGAAAACTACACTCAAATGGTTAATACTCATTCAATAATTGAGACAAGATAATGTCCAAACAACTGAATTCTCCATATTTAATGAATAAAGAAATGTTGCGTAAAACCTAATCTAATTTGATTTTGCCAAGCCATTTACGCACTTTTTAAAAATAATTTGTACCTCATTCCATACTGGCATAATCCTCTTTTTGAACATGGAAAAAATAGTTAAGCTTGGTGAGATGACCAAACTGTCAGTAAATTACATTGTTCAAATGTAAATTATTGATAGTTAATATCTACTATTCTGTATGTTCTATTTGCATACGTCAATGCACAGACAGATTACATGAAATTAATCATAACTCAAGACGATGTTGGTGTTGAATTATGCGGTTCATTGAAAAATGTCGTAGCGATAGCAGCAGGGATATGTGATGGTCTAAAGTTAGGTGATAATACGAAAGCAGCTGTAATAAGAATTGGTTTCTGGGAAGTGTCTGAACTAATGAATGAACTATTTCCTGATAGAGGTTAGTTGAGTTGTGTTGTTATTTTGTTTTTTCGTTTCATCCGTTGATAGTTCTCAATTAATTTAAATTTCAAAAGTATCAAGTTTCGACAAGTGAAACTGTCAACATCTGTGATAATTATAGAGTATTGGTCAGGTGTAGTTTCTTCGTAGTTCGCAACTTCCTAGTAATGGATACTCAACCCCATGTATGGATAAAATATGGGGGCTTACTCTGATCTTAACTATATATATATATATATATATATATATATATATATATATATATATATATATATATATATATTGGATGATGGTCACCTTATTTAATCAGACATTGCGCATACTATTGTATAACTTATGGATTAAATAAGGCTTAGTGTACTCGGCTTTTAGCTACACTTTTTCATGCTAGAATCAATGATTCCGTAGGACGGTGTTTATTTACACAATCTGAGTGGTTGAAAATCGAGTGTTGAGATCAACAAAGTTCCATATTCACATACAAGTTAACCGTAACTTACGACAGACCTTGGAAATAATTGATTACACTAACATATTCAGTTTTTCTTTTGTTAAGTGTTTGGAAATAGAAGACAGCAAACCCTGCTTAAAATAAGTTTCATTCGAATTGACACCTTTCAGCACAGCATACTTTCACTCCTGAAGAAACTGGTGTTGACTGTGATATTTGAAGACTTGGCATTCAGCTTCACATGATTTTGAGATGGTGGAGAAGATTTGTAGCTCAGGTGGATGATTTTGGATGAGTTTTGTTCTCTGAGCTGGATGGTTTGGTCGTGGAGCTATCATCGTCCTTCTGAACGACATCATCAGCACAAACTTCTATCTAAACTTTAGACCAAACCATCCAGCTCAGAGAACAAAACTCCAAAATTCAGCTTCACAGTCTGAGGCGTTTCCACTAATCTATCTAGACCGTAATGGTAACGTTGCCGCTGGGTCGTGTAGGTTTGAATTTCGCAGATACGATCAGTCCCGTAAAGACTGAAAGTTCTTCGTGCTAACGAGCACCAACCAGAATAAAACTTCGGTCCAGGGTTTCTTGGTTACCACCTTAAACAATCAAACACCAAAATACAGTGCAGGTGATATCAAGTCATTTAAGCAAGCAGCCGCATTGCAACTCGATTGATAGAACTAAAAATACATTATATCGATCATTACTTCATGACCAATTACCTATTTTTTAGTGATTCAAAAAGATCAGTCAATTTTAATTCTGATAATTCCTAGTGAAATGTACATTATGAAACGAAATTTTTTTCATGAAAGATTTCATTTTAAAAAAAATCGGAATTGTCATATTAATCCAGTAAATATGTAGTTATGTTTCAAAATCCATGTTACCCTTTGATGAAACACACATATAAATAAATATAAGCTTTTGAGAATTGATAAAAAAAAGTCATTTTATATCATGCATAATACATATCCGGAAACTATGATTTAAAATCATTAGTTAATCTATTTCTGCATTATTTCTACTTCCTGAAAAGTTGATAAAGGTCAATCACTCGTTTCATAGTACAATGAATTCATTCAATATTATAATTTTATCGTTAATCATCGAAACCTATAAAATAATCTTCAAGAATATTTTGGAGATTTATTTATAACAAATCTACTTAAGTGAAATAAATTCTTAACAAGCGTTACATTATCCAATTAAAGGATTGAATAATATTATGTCACACAACAAGGTCAGTCAGTTAGGAAGCTTAACTGAAAGCTGAGACTTGCTTTTTTACAAAATGATTATTGGTGAGAAAAGTCAATAATTGGGTATCATGCTTTCAGCTAAATCTGAAATTTTGTGGTCTACAATACAGATTGACCTTAATTGGATAACCAGTGAAAAGCACAAAAACAGTGCAAACATGTTTCATTCCAGCACAAAATTTCTCGTTCACAATAGTGATCAAAGCCTGAACGTTAAGGTCTCGCTAAGATCAGGTAATATTTAAACCACTGAGCTGGTATTCCGTGGTACACACTTCTAAATTAAATCAATTCGCCATTGTCATTGTGTTGAAGCCCACATGGAAATCTTATTGTGTGGCCTGTTGATCATGATTTGTACAAACTCAAATCCATTTAAAATGTGAATCTACTTTGAAAAAAAAGCAATGGAAAATTACATTATCTGGCAAACTTGATTGCGGATATCGATATCAGATGAATGTACGTACGTACATCAGTTGGAGTTGCCACACCACATTAGCACAGAGATGCAGTGGTCGATTCAAATCCCGTAGTGGTAGAGGTAATAAGAGTATAAGCAGTAATGGGGAAGATTAGGGTTTGGAGATGTTATTTAAAGAGTATAATCCAGTGAAATAAATTTGGAAAGAGAAAAAAGGGACATGAAGAATTCAGAAGATTAGAATTTGGGAGAACACAAAGAGTGGATGCACCTGCGCCATTGCAAACGATTTTGAGCTATGTCATTCAGGGTCTCTAACCATCGGTTGCTATCATCTCGCGGTCCCCAACCAGGTAGTCTACACCTACCAACATGACTCAGTCCACTTGTCAGTGACTTCATGGACTTGTGCCATGTTTTGGTCTGGCCGCCCCTAGCTTTCTTCCAACCTACTCCTATACCACTGAACATCGCACGTCGAGGCAGTCGGTCGTTGGGCATACGTAACACGTGTCCCAGCCATCTCAACTGATGAAGTTTCACTACTTCATCAATTGATTTGCCATCCTTACCTAGTACCCGTTTCCTAACAACTGCATTACTTACTCGATGGTCCCATGATATACGAGCAATGTTTCGAAGACACCTATGATCAAATACTAGTAACCTACGAATATCCTCTACTCTTACCGGCCATGTTTCACTGCCATAAAGTAGGACGGAACGAACTGCTGCGCAGTAAACACGTCCTTTGGTTGATAGACGGATATCTCGCCTACGCCATAAATGACGCAAGTTGGCAAAAGCTAGTCGAGCCTTCTGTATCCGTGCTGAGATTTCGTCACACACCAAACCACAAGGGCTGATGAGACTTCCAAGATAAGTGAAGCGGTCGACACACTCAACTACTTCACTCCCTATCACTAGTTCGGGTGTCGATGTAACCCAATCCTGAAGCAACATTTTGCATTTCGAGGGGGAGAATCGCATCCCGAACATGCTTGCATTGTTGCTTAGAGTGGTCAGAAGACTCTGCATTTTGTCAGCGTCTTCACCAAATAAAACTATGTCATCAGCATATTCTAAGTCAACAAGTGAACCTCCCGGTAGAAGTTCAACCCCTGTAAATTTAGATGAGGAGAGTGTTATCTCTAAAAGTACGTCGACACAAAGTTGAACAAGAATGGGGAGAGTGGACAGCCCTGACGAACACCACTTGAGGTAATCAATTCTGATGACAGTTCGCCATAAGCTCTCACTCTACCAGTTGTGTTCGAGTAGAGAGCCTTTATAAGGTTAATGTACTTCTTTGGTACTCCTTTCAGTGACAAACACTGCCATAGAACCTCACGATCAACAAGTCGAATGCCGCCTTAAGGTCGAGAAATACTACCATTGTGGGGCGTCTGAATGTGTGTCTGTGTTCTAGAACCTGACGTAGTGTGAATATCTGATCTATACAACCACGTCCAGGTCGAAAACCAGCCTGGTTTTCTCTAGTCTGCTCTTCACGAGCTTTGATTAGGCGTCGAAGTATTATTGAAGCTAATATTTTAGACACTATATTAGTCAAACTGATTCCTCTGTGATTGTCACAAGAGGACTTTTGTCCTTTCTTATAGACTGGCACAATCAGTGATTGAGACCAGTCAGATGGGATTACGTCCAGTTCCCAAATTCTACCTAAGACCTCAGTTAATCTCATTGCTAATACTGGACCACCATCCTTAAAAATCTCAGGAGTAAACCTGTCAGGGCCTGCTGCTCTCCCTCGTTTCAGATTTCCTATGGCTTTTTCAACTTCGTAAAGGGACGGAGGACCTACATTAACTTGCCATTCAGGTTGACTGGAGATCGTGGGAAACCGAAGTGTGGCTGAAGGCCAGTTGAACTGATCCCTAAAGTGTTCTGCCCATCGATCCAATCTCCTGGATTGAGAATGATATCTTTCTCTGAGATTGTTTCGCTAACGGTCGGGTTCCTAATTCCGGTTTCCTTAACGAGTCTGAACAATTGTCTGCTATTACCTATTGCCGCTGCCTTTTCCATCTCTCTTGCTTTCGCTACCCACCACTGTTCGCGATCATTGCGTAGACTTCTTGTCAGCTTGCGCTTAAGCTGACTCCGCTCTTCATTATGTTCAGAGCCAGGTGGAATGAGTTTCCGAGCATCTATCAGTGCGATAGATGCTGCTGAGATCCAGTGTTGCTCCCTAACCTTCTGGTTTACCTTACTAGCAGATATCACTGCTGTTTCCACAGCTTTTCGGATATCATTCCATGCTGCATCGGGGTGGGCATCACATACATGGCTGCCTAACTGTTTTCCTAGTTGTTCCTGAAATATACTCTTAGCTTGACTATCATTAAGTAGGCCCTAAGAGGTTTCCTTGCAGCGTCTTTCCTACGTCCAGTAAGACGCAAGCAAATACGCGCTCGCACTAGAGCATGATCTGAATCTAGGCATGTGCTCCAGAATGAGCGACAGTCTTCTATCGAGCCCCTCCATCGGTGGCTGATAGCGATGTGATCTATTTGGGTCCAACGTTGGGACGAATTAGGGGGTCGCCATGTTAAAAGATGTTTTTCCTTATGCTTAAAGTTAGTATTTGCAAGGAACAGGCGGTTATCTGAGCATAGCTGCAACAGACGGTCGCCATTATCTGTTCTTTGAGCCACGACACCATAAGATCCACCTAGGTGTCTTTCCCTATCGCTTAGTTTACCTACTTGAGCATTAAAGTCACCGGCCACTATTACTACATCCGAGCGCCTAGCTTTTCGGAGAAGGTCCGAAAGCTTTCTGTAAAACTCATCTTTTACATCATCTGAGCTGCAGTCAGTGGGAGAATAGGCAGAGACGACGAAGAGGCAACGACGAGTGTCCCTATCTTTCCGGATTCTTACTGTTCCGTTCAGTCGGACAGCGCACAAACGACTGTCTACTGGGATCCACTCTAAGAGAGCTAGTTCTGCCCTAGGACTCAATGCTATACCTACGCCGGCGAGGCCACGGGAAGCAGAATCAGGGCTTCCAGATACACGAAGCGTAAATCGAGTCGGTTCTTTATTTTGGCATGGTGAGGTCAAATGAATGACGCTACTCGGATCCTGTATGCGCGTTTCGGAGACGCAGCACACATCGATGGCGCGAGATTCTAAAGTTTTAGCTAAGGAAGCCTGCTGTCCTATTTGGCAAAGTGTTCGTACGTTAAAAGCTCCTACGTGTAGTTTAGAGCGTGGTTTCAGGAGACCAGGAATGGCGTTCCACGTACTCGAATCGTTTGCCCTAGCGGTGCGAGGTGATAAAGAGACGTGAGGAGGGTTAGTCATGGAGATAAGAGAGGTATTAGGAGGTGTAGGAAGGATTTGAATGTGACCAACTTGGTCTCTTGTGCTGTTACGGGTATGAGGGCTGATGTCACTTCCCGGCTGCCCACACCGTGGAAGGGTATTTCTTGAGGAACCTGAAAGGAAAATTGGATTAGTGTTGGTCTTGACGACCTGGGAGCGTGACCGCAGAGCCCAAGGGACAACTGCTTGAGGCCGGTCGCGCACGGCCTTTTTGTGGAAGGTTTTTGACGTGTTAGCTCCGTTCTTCAAAGGGCCTTACCGCCGGAGACGGAAATCCGTGAGGTAAGGTGAGGTGTGACATTTTTAGGGTCGACCTTTTCTAACCACATCCTTCCTTGTGGGAAGGCAGCATCGCTGTCATGCTGGTTGTCCGAGGGAAACACCTTACTGCTGTCACACCCCTCTACAGTCAGCAGTACGACTTCGCCCTCAGACCTTGAGTTGCTGCTTTTAGTCTTACCGTTCTCCAATCGACCTGCCTGGCATGGTAGAACCTACAGGAACATATGTTCCAGCCAATATAGCTCGGTTGGGTCATCACGATAGGTAATCTCGACCACCGCGTCAAGGTAGCAGCTTCGGTCGGGCTAAGTAGTACCTTTTTAAACTTATCTACTCCTCATAATTATATTCAGACAAATAGCCAACCACCAACACTGTAAAATATATAATATTCTGTTCCTGAATATTATTATTCTAACGTTAAATTATTTCTAAGATTATGATTGTGCAACATAATCTAATGTAGGTGGTGGATACAACTGCACGTGTTTGTAAAACGTATTGCCGTTTGGTAAAAAACAACAACTTCGTACATTATCTGCCCCACACAACATATGTGTGTCATGTCATGTCGAGAAAAAGAAACGACCAATTCGAAGCAGTACATTGCAAAAAAATGAAATTTAAAAACCGAAATTCATTGTAATCATGAACTGATCTATGTTAGACCACCAAGAAAAACCTGGACATACTGGACAGCAGCTCCGTTTTAGTATGAGACTCCTCAGTGGAGTATGGTTTCGATTCCTGGTTACTAGGTTGTGGATGAACACTTCTGTTAATTTTCATACTAGGACCAAGCGGCCATCCACTGCCTTCTAGTTTTAAGTGGTAGTCTACCTAAGATCAGTTCGTGATTGAAACTATGACACCTGTACAACTTCGATAAAATTTTAAACTGACATTTATCTATTTATAAAAATAAACAGGTACAAGTTATCTAACAACAGAGCAAAGTTGCGGAATAGCTGAATTGTTCATGTGTAAGTTATATTATTATTATTAATATTATTTTGTTTTACTAAATTAGCTGTGAATGTTCTTGTTAAATAAGTTAGTCTTTATTCAACATGAACTTGATCGATAGAACTAGATCTATATGTTATTAAATAATTGTTTAAATTAAATTTTATGAGGCCAGTATTCTCAAATTAATGGTGGATTATTGAATAAACACTTGTATTTGAATTTAAATATTTCAAGTTTGAACAACTGTCATCTGTTTTTATGTAATAAGCCGAACAGTATTATCAGACGTCATGTAAACAGTATAGTGCTGAATCAGTATTTTAGTACAAATTAGAAATTTCATATTATCTTTCCAGAAAATGGATGTAACGCTTAGTATCCGAAAGCTGATAATGATACGAATTTGTTCGACATACAAAACTGGCTATTGGGGAGAAAATATAGTAATCATGTAAAGAGGTTTATTTAGGTTAAACAGATTCAAGTAGCAACTATATATATATATATATATATGTGCCCCTTAGAAAACTGAGCTTTTCACTTGCATTTATGATTGGGTCACTGTATAAGGAACTAATTAATTTGTTTGATTAAGTCACTTCACTCGATAATTTCTAAAATGTAACATATTTATCATGAATTCACATACATGTTAGTTATTAGTTATCATTTATATTTCTCTTGGTTACGTTAATTGTTAATAGTGTGAATGAAATGAACTTCAACATCCTGTATTGATACCAAATTGACATTAAACAGAATTTATGCTATCTATTCAATTTTATATATTAAGGTTGATTACACCTGTCAGATATTAATAAATGTGTAGTTTTCTCATTATTTTTTGAAAAATTAACTTTTTCATTGTCATTACATAAATTTGTGCAGATATTTGTGTGAATAAATTAAATTAGAATTTAACGAACATTTATTAAACGAACTTTAGCTATTTCATATTTTGTGATAAGTGAGGATATGAATTCCATTTAAAAGCAGATATCACCAGTTTAGAACAAAAATTGAGCAGACAAACGAGTTCAAAACAAGATTTACAGAATGGACTGATTTGACACGTGTGACAGAACAATGTGGTTATCTGAAAAATGTATACTTGTGCTAAACATTTCGAACAATCTGGTCACACATATACCTATCAAGGCATTTTATGTGAAAATTAATAAAGTTCAATTAAATGGAAGTTCAAGTAAACGAAATGATAATTATCAGAAGGGATTTTGTGGAGATTTTATAGATTTCACTGGTTGGTCCTGGGCTCAAACCTCGCAGGGGGAGAGGTTGTGAATGCACACTACTGAGGAAACCCATCCTAGGACGAAACGGCCGTCCAGTGCTTCCAGGTTTTCCATAGTGGTCTAGCTTCAATTGACTCGATTTCAAACAGTGAAATGATAATTGTAAATAAATAAGAGCGAAAATTAACATCGTATGGGAAGAATAAGAAATTGTCGCATCAGCCTAGATCATAAAGTGATCCAGGGGTTACCAGGGTAAAGTAAAGTTTACGACAAATTGTTTCTTTATATGTAAGAGGTGGTTCGAATTTATGAACAGCTAAGGCTTCTATAGATCTAGGAATTCGTCCTTGGTAGTTTCAATACAACGTTTTAAAAGCTATACTGATGTCAGTTCTACGCCCCATTTCAATTATTTGATTTACTATTGATGAACATGGTTTTATACTTTCCACGTTTATCGGAGCATTTGAAACTAACTGATTTTGAAGTCATCTAGGCACATGCTTCATAAGCCTTAATTGCATTGTTTAATCACACCTCCCTATATATGCGAACCCACACAAATCTGTGAAATAATTTTGAAAAGTTTCACTCCTATCATAACCAATAATTGATAATGTTGTCCAAAAGAGTGATAACAATTTTGTAATTAAATTTTTCAGCCTATGGAATACTGTTATAACTTGTGGCTTTGTGCCTTATTAATATATAACGTAATGATGCCACCTTTTAGAGAACAGTGCTTTGTCGGCCAGACCAATGACGCACAAAACCGTACAAGTAGTCTAGATTCTTAATCGATCCTTCTTCCTGCCTAGCCCTACGTGTTAAGTCCAGAACACAAATCTCAGGTCCGCGATATGAATCATGCATTTCAGACATAGTGAGTTTATACATAAATCAAACAGACTACATCGTACCATAAAATGGAAAATAACATTTGTACAAGATCTAGCCAAAAGTAGCTGTGATTGTGGTGGACTGTAATTAATGAACTGGGCATAAATTGAGGATGGCAATTCGTATAATAATAGCCTATAAGTCAAAACAAAGCTTATAATAAGAATATGAAATACTACAATGGAAATACTGCATAACAACTGTTTAATGAAACAATCATTTCAATAAAAACACAAATTAGTTCACTAACGAATAACCAGCTATTTAAATTTCATGTTTCCCACATATCCCCTCTAACAATTTAGCAGGAATCTAATCTTAACCATTTTTAATATGATTATTCTTTCTATCTCTTCCAAGGCATGTCTCATAAAATGGACGACATTTCCGACATAGGAGATTTAGATCTGTTGAATATTAGTATTGGAAGACGATTATCTAACAATGATACCAATAGACCATCACTTCGCTCCATAACTGATAAAATACCATACAGAAACTTTTGTAGACGGAGCTGAATACGCAAAACAGGTAGTTTATTTGTTTGACTTAGCACTTGTTTTAAGCTAGCACGAAATATTCTGGGAAAAAAAACTACTGTAAGGACATTAGCTAATTAGATTATCACAATAATGTATACTTTGATATACACTTTTGACTTGTTGAAAACAGTAAAAGATTTGGATATACACTCTTGACATTTTTTCTCAACTACGTTCATTTTCCTAGACGATTTCATTCATTATATCAGAGCAGTTTAGCGATCTTTGTTTACTAGGATGTCATCTCAGCGAATAATACCACTTAGCTAATTGTGGTCCATTTAGATACTTCAGATTATTCCACCTGTATAAAAATATTTATTTATCGGTATTGTTAACCTGATGATGATTAAAGTATACATTAAAGTTAATTGGTTGAGTTCGTCCAGGCATATTACGTGCCTATGCTCACATGCCATCTGAAAACCCAACAGTAGATGAAAAATTAGAAAATAGACAATTTATTGGAGGAAACTGGTTATGCCCCTAGTCAGGATCTCAGCCTACATGTCCATGTCTGGATCCGAAGGATATATGTATACGCCTCAATGATTTATTTACCTACTGATTTATTTTCTCAGTTCAAGCTTCTCAATCAGGCATTCCATTCGCATGGCTGGATGAGAAAGCCTACCAGAAGTGTATGTATTGACATAAAACGTGGTGGAACTTAACAGTTTATTTTTTATCACACTGAAGTAAACTGGAAAACAATATTTCAGCAGAGATCTAAAGTTAATATATTTTCATATAGGTTAATTCTAATTAGCATTTGACTGATTAAATAATTTAAAAAATATTGTGTGTGAATAATTGAGTATTATTTAGCTGGAACACTAACCAGAATCGAAGATTTTCGACGATTAAACATTCTGGTTACTTATATTTTTTTCAAATATATATCTCCCACTCTATTCATTGTTACTAAAATTATAGTTAGTCAGCAAAATAATTTATCTTTGATAAGGCCAAAATCATGAGCTTTATTTCCGTTAAAAGACATGATACCTTTATAGTGACCTGAAATTTCAAGGTGAATATGTAATAACAATCAGAATTCCACCCAATAGTTTATACCTTTTCTGTACAGCATCTATGGTTATGTTGGTACAATCACACCAAATTATAAAAGACAGCAGTTTATTGGTATTTACAGTACCGTGCAACCATAAATATGGAATAGAATATATATAAAATATTTCAACAATACCGGCACTGTATTATACAGCCAAAAAATATGTTACAAAAACTCGTAAAATTGAATCTATAGTATAACAATCTGATATTAGCGAGAAATAAAGCAAATTATTTGTCAAAGAGAAAACGTGTTCCAGATAAACAATCAGGTAGTCAACCAACTCACCCAAGCACATCGAAACCAGTATGGCTTTCGTTAGGGGTTTACAGTATCATACAAAAGTACGAATCCCACAGAACCAAAGTTGTAGAAAAAAAATACTAATAACATCGTCTGAACTAAATATTTAAGCCATCCAAATGGTTGGATGGAATAAGATCAATGAGGTTTTACAAAACGTCAAATAAAAGATCGGTAATATAGAAAGCATACCGGCTGGATTCTTTACCACACATAAAGTATATCGCATTTTCATACCGACTCAATATCCCATGGTGCACTTTTCAAACCTCAGTCAATTCCCAATGTATGAATCGACCATTCAGTGGAATGGATATTAGCCGATACGATTGAACTTCAGCATAGTACCCAGTAACAACTAATTTTGGTTTGTTTCATGCATGTTATTTACCATTTAGACGTTTTTCCATTAATTTTTTTAAACCAAATTTTACAGACCTCGTTTTATAATAAGCAATGTGAATGAAATACACTTTTCATAATGTTGTTATCATTATCGTTCTTATTTGTTTCAAGATATACAGTATCTTAGCTGACAGACGTCGTACTGGACATTTTCCATTATTCGTCGCTGTTCATCGTATTTGTCAGAATGAAATAAAACCACAAGAATTAATTACATGTTTACAGTCACATCCTATTCATGCTTAAATATTACTTGTGAGTAACAAGTCAAAATAAACACAATTTATGCTATTTTTATATTTTTGCTATTATGAGTTTCTTACTGTTTTAAGTATAAACATTCGAAAATAGGATTTCATTTCTTATTTTACAAATTCTTGTTTTTTCTATGAATTTCAGCCATTTAATGTGATTTTGTACAATTATACATGAAATGCGATTATAAAGTCTTTTCAATCCTTTGCAATATACTTTTGTTTTACTTAGCCAACTAATTAAGCCGATTCGTATCGGTTGGATTATCATTACAGTTTTTGCTGCTCACACTATGATTTTGCTACATTTTTTAAATAAATAGATTAACTGCTATGGGACAATAACCATTGGATTACAATTTAGACTTTTGATATGTCTGTTAGATAATGAGACATCTACGTGTTATGCTGTTTCTCTTTGATAAGACAGTCAAGTTTTCTATGTTAAGTATGATCTAATTATTCAGGTTGTCCAATCTTCCATGGGTCGTTTATTTATCTATGATAAGTCTTGCGGAATGAACGCTATAATTCGTCCCCTAAGCTAGAACTATACAGCGACCTGAACACGAGAGAGAATACTCAAAGTATGCGAGAAGTAGTTTACTCCAAGGTTCATTTTAATACAGAAAATACAGGGGTTTTATAATATTCTGAATGTCCTTGGGTTGCTAGAAGATTCTGGAATGCTAGTAAACATAGTAGCTGTGTAGCAATCAGCCAGTCAGAACTTCTACATCTGACGTTTCGCTTCCTTGATATTTTTGGCAAAAAATTCAAGTGAACGCTGATTGGACGAAACACTCCTTAGGGATTCCTGGTGCTTGCTTGTCTTTTGCAAGCAATTTTCTGGATCACTCCAACAATCTACTAATCAAATTTTAATCCCAGTTGTTTGGTAGTGACATGAGATCTGGATAAATATTAGTGAAAATGACTAAGTAGGCACATTATAATTGTATACGGTAAAACATATTTTCGATAATAACCTCTGAAGTGTTATACCAGTTCACGTTCTTATATGCGCCGTAAATCAATCTCTATCAGTTCGAACAAAAACTTACAAAAAACGTTTCATATTCTTAATGACACTGCATATAAACGTGTCTTTCTACAAATGATCGATTTTATGTGATGAATCAATCATAAGTATATACGATACAACGAAAATGTTGGAACAAATATAACATACTTACTTACTTACGCCTGTTACTCCTCGTGAAGGAGCATAGGCCACTCACCAGCATTCTCCATCCAACCCTGTCCTGGGCAATCCTTTCTAGCTCCGTCCAGTTGTAATTCATCCTTTTCATATCTGCTTCTATAATCCGACGCAATGTGTTCTTTGGCCTTCCTCTTTTTCGCCTCCCTTCAGGGTTCCAAGTTAGGGCTTGCCTCGTGATGCAGTTTGACGGTTTGCGTAATGTATGTCCTATCCATTTCCATCGTCTTTTCCTAATTTCTTCTTCAGCTGGAAGTTGCTTTGTTCTCTCCCACAGAAGGCTATTGCTGATGGTATCCGGCCAGTGGATGTTGAGTATCTTGCGTAGGCAGCTATTTATAAATACTTGTACTTTCTTGATGGTGGTTGTTGTAGTTCTCCAAGTTTCAGCTCCATACAGTAGAACTGCCTTGACGTTCGTATTGAAGATTCTCACTTTGATATTGGTTGAAAGTTGTTTTGAGTTCCATATGTTCTTCAATTGTAGGAATGCGACCCTTGCTTTGCCGATCCTCGCCTTTACGTCTGCATCTGAACCTCCTTGTTCATCGATGATGCTTCCTAGGTATGTGAAGGACTCTACATCTTCCAGAGTTTCGCCATCAAGAGTGATTGGATTGCTGTTCTGCGTTTTGAATTTGAGGACCTTGGTTTTCCCTTTGTGTATGCTGAGGCCTACTGATGCAGAGACTGCTGCTACACTGGCTGTCTTCATCTGCATCTGTTCGTGTGTACGTGATAGGAGGGCTAGGTCGTCTGCGAAGTCCAAATCGTCTAATTGATTCTGAGTTGTCCATTGTATTCCGTGTTTTCCTTCAGATGTTGAGGTCTTCATAATCCAGTCGACCACCAGAAGAAAGAGGAAGGGAGAGAGTAAACAGCCTTGTCTGACTCCAGTCCTTACTTGGAATGCATCTGTCAGCTGTCCTCCATGCACTACTTTGCACTGTAGTCCGTCGTATGAGTTCCGGATAATGTTGACAATCTTCTCAGGAACTCCGTAGTGTCGAAGAAGTTTCCATAATGTCCTCCTATCTACACTGTCGAATGCCTTTTCATAATCAATGAAGTTGATGTATAGTGATGAGTTCCACTCCACTGATTGTTCGACGATGATCCGTAGTGTTGCAATTTGGTCTGTGCACGACCGATCCTTACGGAATCCAGCTTGTTGATCTCGAAGTTGGGCGTCTACTGCATCCTTCATCCGGTTCAGCAACACTCTGTTGAAGACTTTCCCTGGTATTGACAGTAGTGTAATGCCTCTGTAGTTTTCACATTTGCTCAGATCTCCTTTCTTTGGAATCTTGACGAGGTGTCCTTCTTTCCAGTCCATTGGCACTTGTTCCTCCTCCCAAATCTTTTTGAATAGAAGGTACAGCATGCTTGTGGTTGCTTCGATGTCTGATTTCAGTGCTTCAGCTGGTATGTTGTCGGGTCCTGCTGCTTTCCCGTTCTTGATTTGTCTGACGGCCATTCTAATTTCTTCCGTCGTTGGTGGGTTGACATCTATAGGAAGATCTATGTGTGCTGCTTCGATGTCCGGTGGATTCATTGGAGCCGGCCTATTCAGGAGTTCCTCGAAGTATTCCACCCATCTGTTACGCTGATGTTGAATTTCGGTGATTGGCTTGCCTTCTTTGTCTTTGACCGGCCTCTCTGGTTTACTGTATTTCCCTGCTAGTTTCTTCGTTGTATCGTAAAGCTGTTTCATATTTCCTTCTCTAGCAGCTTTTTCTGCCGTCGTTGCTAGTTCTTCCACGTATTTCTTCTTGTCGGCTCTAATGCACCTCTTCACTTGTTTGTTTGCTTCTATGTATTCAGCTTGTGCTTGAACTTTCTCTGCTCGTGTTCGGCTGTTGTTAATTGCTGCCTTCTTGTTCTTCCTTTCTTTGATCTTGTCCAGTGTTTCTATAGAGATCCATTCCTTATGATGGTGTTTCTTTAGGCCCAGAACCTCTTGACACGTTGAAGTTAATGCTTCCTTGATGCCTTTCCAGTTGTCCTCCATACTAGTTTCTTCTTCTTTCAGTAGATCTTGTAAGGCTTGGAACCTGTTGTTGAGAGCTATCTTGAATTCATTGAGTTTGTCAGTATCTCGAAGGAAGGCTGTATTGAACCTTTGTAGTGCTGTTTGTCCACTTGTCCAGTTCTTTTTTAGCTTCAGTTTTAAATTGGCTACAACTAGGTGGTGATCTGAAGCTACGTCAGCACCTCTCCTGGTTCTCACATCTTCCATTGTCCTTCGGAATTTTTTGTTGATGCAAATATGATCTATTTGGTTCTCTGTAGTGTGGTCCGGTGAGATCCATGTAGCCTTGTGTATACGCTTGTGTGGAAATATTGTGCCTCCTATGACCAATTTGTTGAATGCACATAGATTTGCAAATCTTTCTCCATTTTCGTTTCTCTGTCCCAGTCCATGTCGTCCCATGATATCTTCATATCCAGTGTTGTCTATTCCGACTTTGGCATTTAGATCTCCCATCAGAATAGTTAGGTCCTTTCTTGGCATTTCTCAATGATTGACTGTAGCCGCTCGTAGAACTGATCTTTAATGTCGTCGTTGCTATCATTGGTGGGTGCATAACATTGGATAATATTCATTAAGATCCCCTCCTTCTTTGTTTTGAATGATGCTTTGATGATTCTGGATCCGTGAGACTCCCATCCTACAAGTGCATTTCGTGCTACTTTGGACAGCATAAGAGCGACTCCCTGAGTGTGTGGAGCATTGTCCTCCTCGTGACCGGAGTATAGCAGCATCTCTCCCGTAGCTAGCCTTTTCTGTCCAGCTTGGGTCCAGTGGGTTTCGCTGATTCCCAGTACTGCTAAGTTGTATCTCCTCATTTCCATTGCTATTTGACTGGTCTTCCCGGTTTCCCACATTGTTCGAACGTTCCATGTACCTATAAAAATTTTTGCTCTGGTTGTTAGAAGGGGCATCGGCCTCGTGGCTTCCGAAGGAACTCGGCTTTCACCATGAAGCGTCATAATTCTTCTAACTGAAGACCTTCTAACTCCCAGGGCAGAGTTTAAATGGTTTGAATAATTTTTTCTGGTAAGCGTTTTTTTAGCGAGTTAGTTTTCTACGGGATGGGGACGCTAACCCCATGCCCAACCCTCCTCCTTTACCCGGGCTTGGGACCGGCAGTAACCCTATTAGAGCTACAGGCGGAGTTAAATATAACATAGACCCGTGATATAGCACAAATTAGCAAAAGCATGATTTGTATTGGATTATTAAAACAAGAAATATTTAGTATATCCAGTCAACAATTACTAACAGCTAGTTCTCAGTAATTTATAAAAACAAACAAAACTGAATTTTTAAGAAATGTATTATACAGCATAAAAATATGAATATTTACTATGCAGAATAATCACTGATTGCTATTTAACTCCAAAAGGGGATTTTAAATTTGGAAATGCAGGTTAGACTAAATGATATGAATCTAAAATCAATAGGGATAACAGCATTATCATTTGGACTCATAATATTTTGTATAAAACTGTCTACTTTGTTAGAATACCTATTTTAACATGTTTACTGAATAACAAAATCATTTTCTGTAACCTATTCTAATTTGTATCCAACACATAATTCATTCAGTTCAGTTTAAATTCTCATATCATAAAGCACCTGACTATCTATTCATTTCAAAATCATCAAACCAGTAAATTTTTCAATTGTCTTTTACGAAAAAAGAACGAAGAATAAGACATTCAGATTTATCCAAAAACATTTAGAAGCAATAAGTTCAGTAAAATACACGTATAAATGTTGCTACAAAAGATTAAAGTGAAGATAATACAAAGTATACAAGATACAAATATCATGAGGTAAGTATAAAAAAAAACTATCAAACAGAAATCTGTCAAACTGTTAGGGTAGTCAGTTCTGGCAATTACTATTCATCGTTTAAAAAAATACAAATATTTCATACATACATTTAATTTAATCACTATATTTTAAAAATTCCAGTAAAGAACGTTGTCGTTGTCTATTGTTGTTAGCAGATGAAGTCTTTTTCGATTGACTCTTTCTTTGGTTAGAATGTTTAATAGTTTGTTGTGATCTTCTTTCATACCTATTCACTTCTTGTGAATCTCGTTTACTACTTCTTTTAATAAGTAAGTCGTGCGTACATCCCCAACACCTAGGAATTAAAAAAGCATGTATGTCCATGATGAATTTTATTCAATGAGCAAACATAGAATTGAAAATATTAGAAAAAAAAGAAAATGACAGAAATAATCACTCTTTTAAAAACAAGTCAAGTTATATTCAAACGGTATATTACGAATATGATAGGTTCATGTTAGTGTATATTTATAATTTAACTAGTCTCAACTAGGAAAAAAATAGAAAGACTACTTACTGAAGTACACTTTAAAAACATCAGTTTACTGAATCATTTATTTAAATAAAGCGATAAGAAGAAGAACACGAAATTCATTATATTTTACGGCTTCTTATTAGCTTCTCATACAACCTTAATTTACATTATTAATATTACTATCAAAAATGTCTATATACTGTACGTAATCAATGAAGTTTAGTTTGAAATCACATGAGAAACAAGGGACAATATATTTAACATCATAGATAAGATTGATTCAGATTTCTCATGTTGAGGACGAAGTTGTAGATGATGATGAAGAGACGATTAATAAGAACATTGTTAACAAATATATGGTAATTAAGGCACCTATTTGACATACCATTTAAATTAACATGGTGAGTGAATATCGGTAGAAATAGTCTTATTTTAAGTCAAAAAGTATAATAAACAGATAATTTAATTGACAAATGTTAAAATAATATAACTATCTTATCATGGTAATGAGAGGTTTACCACAATAGCTTTCTGTATACAATGGTCAGGTCGAAAGTGCTTGATGGCAGTAGCCCTTGCAAAGCGGAGTAAAACTAGTGTTCAGTGGTTGTTAATTATTTTAAGTCTTTATAATCGCCACACTTTGTCATCCATCCATTAAATATCTAATAATAGCACTGGTGAATATTCTACATCCTTTCAAACACAACTTGAGCGAAATATTTTTCGAAAACCTTGTAGACGCCCTATTAATCATAGTCCTTCTCAAACACTTGCTTCCGCAAGTACATGTAAATTTTAAAGATGACCTTAGAAGGGGACCGACCAATTTTTGATTGATTTAAGGAAAATCTGTTCTATCTTTAAAATAGTAGAACTGCAGGAAAGCTTTTGTTAGCGCTGGTTTAATACTCATCAATTCTACCTGAAATCTCTCATTTGAATCACAGATGAAGACAGATTTCATGTTAACAATTGTGTTTGGAACTTCCTGTACTTAATAAGAGACCTCTTTCTGTACTTTATAGTTTGAACACAAGCTTCTACTAAATGGGATTTAAACTAAATTGTTTGCAACGGAAAGGACGAAAAGTACTATGACTTAAGTATTGCCTGGTCCATGTAGAATGAATTTATGTTATTCTGCAGATCTTATTTTTCTCGCAATATTCAAATTTACCAAGGTATATATATATATATATATAAGCCTTACTATGTTCAAAGTTCATTAATATGTATTATTTCATTTTTATTTCAACACATAAATATTGAAACAAGAGAGCGCCAATATATATGCGCCACACAAAACAATGACAGTGAGAAGAGAAAAAGAATGTAAGGTGCGTATAAGAGAGAAGAAAGGGAAAAACAGGGAACAATAACGACCACAGACTAGTGTATGGTAGTGTAATAATAATAATAATAATAATGATATAAAATAATAATATTAAGGATAATAATAATATTAAATAATGATAATAATAATATTACTGATAATAATAATGGGGGAAACGGAAAGGTACAACCAGAAAGAAATATTTCAGTTAAGGAAGAAACAACCACTTTTTATGAAAGTAAAAGAAGGTTACAGCAGGATCACCACTGGCTTCTATTCTGAGCCATATCTGATAACGTCTCTAGCCACCGTGTTGCACCATCTCTCGGACCCCAACCAGGGAGTCGTGAAGGACCAACACAAGCCAGTCCTTTGCAGCTTTCTTTCATACCACGACACCATGTCATGCATTGACCACCTGTGCGCTTCTTCCAACCAGTTACAGAGTCGGCAAATAATGCGCGACGTGGAATTCTCTGGGACGACATTCGTAGAACATGTCCAAGCCACCGAAGTCGGTGTTTCAAAATGGTGACACCAATCGGATTATTGTCACTCGGCCCGAACACACGATGCCGAACCTCTGCATTACCGACATGGTGTTGCCACTGGATGTCAACAACCCTCCGGAGACAAGGATGATCGAACACAGAGAGTCGTCTAACATCCTCAACTCGGAGAGACCAGGTTTCACAAGCGTTTTAGGTCCGACCTTTTACAGCCAGACTGACATTACGAAGGAGCCAAAGGTGGTCCAGATTGGCATAAGCAGCTCTGGCTTTCACTATACGTGCATTGATCTCATCACTCACACCCCCACCAGCACTTATGCAGCTACCTAGATACACGAACTTCTCGACTAATTTTATCTGCTCACCATCCAGGGTGAGTACAGGATTAGAATCCTTCCAGTCTTAGGATGTTAATAAACTTCTCAGGCACACCCTTCTTCAACAGACAATCACAGAGAACAGTCCTGTCTAACGAATCGAAGGCAGCCCTGATGTCAAGAAACACTATGATTGTTGGCCAGTGATAAGTATGGCGATGTTCTAACATTTGGCGGAGGGTGAAGATATGATCAATACATCCTCGACCAGAACGAAAACCAACCTGCTCCTCGTGAGTCAATCTTTCTCGGGTTTTGAACAACCTATGAAGTATGACGGAAGCCAATAGCTTGGACGCAATCGGAAGTAGACTTATCCCCCGATAGTTGTTACAGGGACGACGTGAACCTTTTTTAAAGATAGGGACAACTATCGACTCAGTCCATGACATTGGTACACTCTCTAGCTCCCAAACCTTTGTAAACAACGTCGTCAGTTCCTTAGTCAGAAAGTCACCACCATCTTTAAAAAGAGCCGGAGGCAGGGCATCTGGGCCAGGTGATTTGTAGCGCTTCAAAAGTTGGAGTTCCTTGCTGAATTCCGCCTTATTTGGTGAATCAGTCGTCACCGACCATGGAGGGCAGGACAGTCTGACCGATGTTGCCGGAGCAGCAGACCAGTTGAACTGCCCTTCGAAAAATTCTGCCCATCTTCCAAGACGTCGATGGATGTTAGTGATTGGCATCCCATCATCCTCACAGATTGTTTCACTCACACCAGATTTCTTGCTGCCAGTGGCTCGGATGAGTCGAAAGAGCTTCCGGTAGTTACCAGATGCAGCTGCTGCTTCCAGCTCATTAGCACGCTCCGACCACCAGGCTTCTCGGTCCTTACGCAAGCTTTGCCCGATTTCCTTACGTAACAGTCGTCGTTTGTGGTCAAATGCACAGTCATCCGGCGTAGACCGACGGGCTTCAATGAGTTGTACGGAGCCTGAAGAAACCCAGTGCTTATAAGCGGGACGTTTCGCGAACCCACAACTGACTGTTCCCGCCATTTTCATGGCGTCATGAAGTTGCAACCAATGCTCATCTATACTTTTCGGTGGAATGGTAGCTAGCCTAGAAGCTAGCTCGGTTCGATACTTACTAGCAACAGAAGTTGCAACCAGCTTGTTAATATCAATCCGTTGATGGCGGTCACTTCGTTGGCCACTGAAAAGTAAGGTAAGATTGGCGCAGACCAAGGCATGGTCAGAGTCCATATAGGTACTCCAAAAGGAGCGGCAGTCTTGTACACAACCACGCCAGCGGTAGCTGATCGCGATGTGATCAATCTGAGTCCAGGCTTGGGATGTAGAGAGAGGATGCCAGGTGGCACATCGGTGATGACTGTGCCGAAAGTTAGTGCTAGCCCGAAACAGGCTATGGTCTGTGCAGAGTTGCAGTAGACGGTCTCCGTTATTCGACCCGCGACCAACAAGTTCCCCATCGGCCACCTAAACGATCCCCTTCAGTGCCTAGACGCCCGACCTGAGCATTCAAGTCTCTGGCTAGTACTACAATATCTGTCGAATGCACTTTCTGGAGAAGAACAGATAACTGGTGGTAAAACTCATCCTTGATTGCTTCAGGGCTGCAATCTGTTGGGGCATAGGGGGAGATGACGAAAATACATCGTTTCTCACGCCGATTTCTTCTCACTTTGATGGAACTTTCTAATCTAACAGCACATAACCGACTGTTAATGGGGATCCAATCGATTAGTGCTGCCTCAGCTCTAGCGCTTAGTGCGACACCAACGCCAGCAAGACCAGACGAAGATGCCACAGGTTCCCCGGATAAGCGCACGTAAAACAAGCTTTTCGAAGTGACAGATGGGGAGCGAATTTGTAGTACTTCATCAGAGTCTTGAATACGGGTTTTGTGTAGACAACAAACGTCGATATTAAGACTTTCCAAAGACATAGCCAGCCCTATCTGTTGTCCAACCTGCATAAGTGTGCGAACGTTGAAGGTAGCCAGTTTGAATGGTGTACGTGGTTTCAGAAAAACTGCTTCAGTAGTCATATTCGGTGAAAACATACAATTTTCAACCGGAAAGTGACTCGAGAACGTTCAAAGCGCTGGACATTCGCTTTTCGTCCTCTCATTTTCGTAAACAGCACCCCCGCCACGAGAAGACAATGAGTAGAATTTCCCAGACAGAGGCTGTATACGCGTGGCCGTGTGAGAGTATTTCGAGAGGGAGAGCGGACTCTCCCCACTCTCGGCCGTACCAGGGCATTGGGGGGTTTTCCACTTAATATACATAAAACTGGTACAACTAATTGGGCATTAAAAGCGAATGCTCCATACAAGCAACAAGCTAACGTTGTGAAGAAATGAGCATTTGTAGAAGAGATATTTTTTTGGTGTTTTCTAGAAGTTTGTGAAATATACATATAAGATGCAGTATTCAACCGAAACTTCCTTACGTGATCATCAGTATTTAAAATATGTACGCATGATAGAAATTCTAACAATTTTTAGATAGATTTCATAGGCTTTGTTTATTGAACCACCAGACCATAGATAGGTTGTATTAAATATTTTAAAGAGAATTTGAAAGACTTGTAGAATATATTCGCATGGTCACTGATACCGCAATATTGGATTCATTTATATTAGAATTCAAAAAATTGCGAAGATTCACAGTTGAAGCAACCCCCACCGGAGGTATATGATCTGAACCAATAAATTACTAGACATACTGTATTGAACGAATGAAAAATAAGTTTGGTCAATAGGTACTGGATTTGACTACTCGATATTTTCGGCATCATGGTCAATGTTTTGAGTTTTATCTAGGATTTCCTCGGGTCCCAACTTTACGTCTAAGTGGGACTCATCAATGTTGTCGGTCGTTGATCAGTTATCTGATTCACAGCACACACAGATATTCCACAAGTCTTTCAAAACACTTAATGCATCCTATCCATAGTCAGATGATGCAACAAACAAGTACTAAAAATTAACTCAATTTCGATCGTACGTACATGTTCTTAAATGCTGATGATCATACTACGAAGTTTCAACTGGTTACTACATCTTGCATATTGTACAAACCCCCCTAGAAAAGCTTGGTCAACCAAGTGTTTCAGATGAAACATGTCTCTTTTGGTCTAATTTTAGTGTACTATTGAACTTAATAATAGAGTTACTGAGTTTAAACGTTATTTTGCATTTCATTGAAATGATGATATTGGTAATGAAGTATCCTGTGTATTCATTATAAATCCTGATCTAACATTTGCAAACATTCATGCTATACTTAAAATATCTACGTACACAGGTATATACAGATTTACGCCATTAACAAGCGCAAGATATTATAGAAAGCCTTCAGAATCATAATGACCATATCACTGGAAACACTCGATTTGCATCAACCAGATTCAACTCTTAGGAGAATCAGAAGACGAAATAGACTACAATAAAATATCACCCACCTGAATCAGCCCATATAACAGGTAGATACTTTTCAAGAGCAGGGCTGATAGGCTGGGCGAACCAAGGCATATCAGGTATCTGTACTCACATGCCGGTAGGTAAGGGATTGTAGCAAGGAACACTACATGTCTTTGTCTATGTCAGAGGGATATATATATATATATATGTATACCGATTGTTAATGTACACTTTATTCCAGTTAAGGAATTACACATTCTTACTCACCTCACATAGCGGGTTTGGGCTGACGAAAAGCAAGCATAAACACAAGGATAGAAAGATAGTTTGTTGTTGTTGCGGCAGTGATGATGGTGAGAGTACCGATAAACCTATTGACAAGTGAACATAGGACAATACTATCTAAATTCTTACCACTAATTTTAACATTTTCTTCTGTGAATAAAGTTCTTGACCGTTTATTTTTCAGACTAGACAATTTAGTTGGAGTTCCATGTTCGGAATAGCCGCTACTAAATTGGGGTAAAAAAAGTCGGAGACATAATTCTGAAAATCACTTTTCAACCTCGCAAAGACACGAGTAATTATTAAATATGGTATATATATATATATATATATATATATATATATATATATATGTATATATATATATATATATATATATATATATATAGAGAGAGAGAGAGAGAGAGGAGAGAAAACTTTAAGTGTAGGATGAAATGTGAGGTTGGCTGAGAGGTTCGAATCGCAAGTATTTGGTTATCAGCTGCCAATTTTAAGGGACTTAATAATATAAGTATCAAGCTCTCCACTTCTATGAGGTGCTCGAGATGAGACTTATTAACAATATTTCTTGCTGCAAAGATTACCGGGATGAGTGAATACTTGATCACACAAATTAATCAACTGTCGTTCCGAGCAAATGTAGTGTTCAAATTTGCAAATATACGGTAATCGAAGTATGTGAATATATGCTTTCCAGAGTTTGGGAAATACTATGTGATTTGTCAAGTCTTTTGATCAATAGATGTTTTCAATAATCAACTTTCTTTATTCATCAACCATGTTAAAATTCTGAAACTTGCTGAAATACCAAAACCTAGCAATGAACACCATTGGTAAGTGACATTTTCATTATTTAGTTACTCCAAAAATATCAAAACTGATTTAAATAACAGAATTCAAATTGATTAGATGAATAACTATCGCAGATCTTTCTTCTACTTAACGTCGAAATATCAGGAGCAGGTTCAAGTCAGAATTTGCGACAATTTACAAGATTTGGAAGTAAAATTGAAATTTTCCACAACTACAGTATTAAACATCGAAGCAATGTGTGTTTGAAAATCACTGATATATTATGAAAAGAAGGCTAAAAACTCCACTAAACATGAATTGTTGAACATTTTTGCTTTCTTTCTCTGTTTTATTTCGTATCAGTATGATGTAATAGGGTTTGTATAAGGTTGGAAATAATGGAGATTGTTTTTCGACTAAACAAAATTGAAATATAGCAAACTACAGTACGTTAGACATACCTTTTAGATATTCTATTTTCATGTCTTACAAACTTAAATAGAATAACGGAAACAAACATAAGATTATGCAAATGTTTTGAAGAAACATTGGTTTGATCCTAAAAACATATTGCTTGAACCGCTTGTTTCTTGATATTTCCAATAGGAGATGCTGTTTGATTTGCAATGCAAGTACATAGTCATAAACGCAACCAAGACTTGAAATATCGTTAGAACTGAGAAACGCAGAACACTAGATAAAGACAGAAGTTGGTTGGTGAGGTAGTAAAACTTCATTGACTGAAGTGGTTAGGACATGTAATATATGTCCTTAACTATCTCCTACTTCGACGCGCTAATTTAAGAGTAAGTTGTAAGAAAACTGAGAGACCAAACTAAGACGCAACATAAATTCATGAAGTTAATGACTGTTAGAATGAGCAGTGTTGACAGGTGCAGATAATCTGGCTGAGGTCCACGCGTTTACCGTAACCAATGTTTAGACACGTTGAATGATATGACTCAGAATCAGCTGTAGTAGTGCAGATTTATCAATTTTTTTGTCTTCCTTTACATCACAAACTATAAGATGATCTCATACTTCATATTTTCCCAAAACTTTTTTCTTGCACCATTTCGTACATGTCTAGTCTACATCCTACCACTGATATTATTACAACTTCTATTCTGCTACTTGCCTTGCTAATTTCATCTTGTTGTACTAATGTGATGTTGCAACTTGAACCGTGCCAGGTTTTACGCTACTTATAGATGATTGATTTTAAACACATTCAGTATTTACAATATGAACATAATGACAGAAATATTAGTAATAATTTAACACACTTACTTAATGAATGATATATTGGATTGTGAATCCTCATTGACAACTTGCCAACATGGTAATGAACTGGTTTCATTAATGGAGTCAGAATAACTAATTAATGGAGAACAATGACCGCTAACCCATTCTAGGTTAGATTGATAATGAGACATGACAGTTCGTTTAGGCTATAAAAGTAAGCAGTAAAAAGCTAGATACTGATGAGAAAACTTGTCGTGAGGCAATCTTTTCCTATAAATATTTTAAAAAATATGGTATATACATATTACAAACAGTTATTTTTCACACCACCTAGAGTATTGCAATCAAAAATTCAGTAGTTAGCCAATGTACTTACTCACGCCTGTTACTCCCAATTAAGCATGGGCCGTTGACCAGCATTCTCCAACCCACTCTGTCATGGGCCTTCCTTTCCAGTTCTATCCCATTCTTGTTCGCTTTTCTCATGTCTGTCTCCATTTCTTGGCGCAAGGTATTTACTATTTATTTAAACACATGAACAATAGTACAAGGAGACACCAAATAAACATGCGCCACATAAATCATTCGATTTGTATGAAGGCTGGGATACTGCCAGAGTGCTCAAACCGAAGTGCCCCCAAATGCCCTGATATGGCTGAGAGCGGGGTGGGTCCGCCCTCCCTCTCGAAATACTCTCACACAGCCACGCGTATACAACCACTGCTAGGGCAGTCCTACTCATTGCCTTCTCGTGGCGGGGGTGCTGTTTACGAAAATGAGAGGACGAAAAGCGAATGTCCAGCGCTTTAACCGGATCCCAAACCAATGGTGTACATGGGCTCCAGTATGCTGCAGGAACGAATGGCATATGAATCAATTAACGGTCAACGGCTACCATGGGACTGCATCTCCTTATGGTTATTAATATTATTATTGTTATTATTATTATTATTATTCTTTACTACGACATTATTCACCCTCTTTTATTCCTACTCTGTCTATACTTATTTTTTCGACTTATACAGCAGCTCGTCTATGGTGGAAATTCGACTGTATCTAAACGTTCTCGAGTCACTGTCCGGTTGAAAATTGTATGTTTTCACCGAATATGACTACTGAAGCAGTTTTTCTGAAACCACGTACACCATTCAAACTGGCTACCTTCAACGTTCGCACACTTATGCAGGTTGGACAACAGATAGGGCTGGCTATGTCTTTGGAAAGTCTTAATATCGACGTTTGTTGTCTACACAAAACCCGTATTCAAGACTCTGATGAAGTACTACAAATTCGCTCCCCATCTGTCACTTCGAAAAGCTTGTTTTACGTGCGCTTATCCGGGGAACCTGTGGCATCTTCGTCTGGTCTTGCTGGCGTTGGTGTCGCACTAAGCGCTAGAGCTGAGGCAGCACTAATCGATTGGATCCCCATTAACAGTCGGTTATGTGCTGTTAGATTAGAAAGTTCCATCAAAGTGAGAAGAAATCGGCGTGAGAAACGATGTATTTTCGTCATCTCCCCCTATGCCCCAACAGATTGCAGCCCTGAAGCAATCAAGGATGAGTTTTACCACCAGTTATCTGTTCTTCTCCAGAAAGTGCATTCGACAGATATTGTAGTACTAGCCAGAGACTTGAATGCTCAGGTCGGGCGTCTAGGCACTGAAGGGGATCGTTTAGGTGGCCGATGGGGAACTTGTTGGTCGCGGGTCGAATAACGGAGACCGTCTACTGCAACTCTGCACAGACCATAGCCTGTTTCGGGCTAGCACTAACTTTCGGCACAGTCATCGCCGATGTGCCACCTGGCGTCCTCCCTCTGCATATCAAGCCTGGACTCAGATTGATCACATCGCGATCAGCTACCGCTGGCGTGGTTGTGTACAAGACTGCCGCTCCTTTTGGAGTACCTATATGGACTCTGACCATGCCTTGGTCTGCGCCAATCTTACCTTACTTTTCAGTGGCCAACGAAGTGACCGCCATCAACGGATTAATATTAACAAGCTGGTTGCAACTTCTGTTGCTAGTAAGTATCGAACTGAGCTAGCTTCTAGGCTAGCTACCATTCCATAAAAGTAGTTAATTCAGAGGTGGTAATATATAAAAGAAAGATTGCAATAAGGATATAGTACAGGAAGAAAGAATTAGTTCGTAGAAAGAAAGATATGAAGTGATTTTAATCTCTTAGTTTAAGGGGTGACAGGGAGTGTATACACCGACGCCATTGTGATCGATTCTGAGCCATGTCACCAAGAGTCTCCAACCATTGGTTACGAAAGTCACGCGGACCCCAACCAAGTAGTCTGCATCTACCAACATGGCTCAGACTAGAAGTTAGTGACTTCAAGCACTGATGCCACGTTTTGGTTTGGCCGCCCCTAACTTTCTTCCAACCATCCCCTACACCGGTTAGCATTGCACGTCGTGGTAATCGGTGTTCAGGCATACGTAACACGTGGCCCAACCATCTCAGTCGATGAAGATTCATAACCTCATCAACTGATTTACCATCATTCCCTAATACCCTGCGTCTAACCTCACTATTACTTACCCGGTGATCCCAGCAGATGCCAGCAATATTTCTAAGGCATCTGTGGTCAAATACTAGTAGCTTACGGGTGTCTTCTACTCTTAAGGCCATGTTTCGCTGCCGTAAATTAAAACAGAACGGACAGCCGCGCAGTATACTCGTCCTTTTATTGATAGACGGATATCTCGCCTCCGCCAAAGGTGACGTAAGTTGGCAAAAGCCAAACGAGCTTTACGAATCCGTGCTGAGATTTCGTCAGACACCAACCCATTAGGGCTGATCAGACTTCCAAGATAAGTGAAGTTGTCAACTCGTTCGACTACTTCACTCCCTATCCTTAGTTCAGGTGTTGACGCAGACCAGTCCTGAAGCAACAACTTGCATTTAGAGGGAGAGAAGCGCATCCCAAACATTCTGGCATTGTTGCTTAGTGCTACCAGAAGACTCTGCATTTTGTCAGCGTCTTCACCAAACAGGACTATGTCATCTGCGTATTCTAAGTCGATAAGTGGACCTCCTGGAAGGAGATCAATACCCGAGAATTCAGTCGACGAGAGTGTTATTTCCATCAATAGGTCTATGATGAAGTTAAACAAAAATGGAGAAAGTGGGCAGCCTTGACGGACACCACTTGAGGTTGCAAAAGTAGATGACAGTTCGCCATAAGCCCTGACTCGACTAGTAGTGTTCGAGTAAAGAGCCTTCACAAGGTTTATGTACTTCTGAGGTACGCCTTTCAATGACAGACACTGCCACAGAGTCTCGCGGTCTACAGAGTCAAATGCTGCTTTTAAGTCAAGAAAGACCACCATCGTCGGACGCCGATAGGTATGCCTGTGTTCTAGAACCTGACGAATGGTGAATATGTGGTCGATGCAGCCACGACCAGGTCTAAAGCCAGCTTGGTTCTCTCGTGTTTGTAGTTCACGAGTCTTAGTTAGGCGTTGATAATTATCGAGGCCAGTATTTTAGATACTATATTTGTTAAACTAATCCCTCTGTGGTTGTCACAGGATGATTTTGACCCTTTCTTATATATTGGGACGATAAGTGATTGCGACCAGTCAGATGGGATAACGTCTAACTCCCAGATCTTAGCTAAAATATTAGTCAACCTAATCGCTAAAATTGGACCACCATCCTTAAAGACCTCTGGAGCCAATCCATCTGGACCAGCTGCCCTTCCTCGTTTCAGATTAACTATAGCCTTTTGAACTTCAGCAAGAGTTGGGGGACCTACTTCAATGTTCCATTCACACTGTCTGGGAATGGAGGGTAGTTGTAGAGTAGCTGAAGGCCAGCTGAACTGTTCTCTAAAATGTTCCGCCCATCGTTCTAAACGTCTGGACTGGGAGCAGATGAGAGTATCGTCTTTTTCCGAAATAATCTCACTTACACTTGACTTATTAATTCCAGTTTCTTTTATTAGTCTGTAAAGCTGTCTTGTGTTCCCTATAGTCGCCGCCTTTTCCATCTCTTTTGCTTTCGTTGCCCACCACTGCTCACGGTCGTTCCTTAGACTTTTTCTTAACCTAGATCTGATTTGTTTACGCTCTTCATCATGTTCAGAACCTGATGGGACGAGTTTGCGAGAATCCATCAGTGTGACAGACCTTGAAGAAATCCACTGGTTCCTTGTAACTCTGTGGTTTAAGTCACTAATAGATGTCACTGCTGTTTCCACAGCTGCTTGTATGCTTTCCAAGCAACATCTGGGTCAGCCTCGTCTTCACAACTACCTAAGTGTGACCTCAGTTGTTCCTGGAACCTACTTTTGGTTTTCTCGTTACTCAACTCAGTTCTAATGGGTCTTTTTAATGTGGCTTTTTTGCGTCCAGTGAGGCGCAAGCAGATGCGTGCCCGTATTAGGGCATGGTCGGAGTCCAAGCAGGTACTCCAGAATGAGCGACAATCTTCTACCGACCCTCTCCAACGATGACTGATGGCAATATGGTCTATTTGAGTCCATCGTTGGTTTGGTGTAGGGGGTCGCCATGTTAGACGATGTCTCTCCTTATGCTTAAAATTTGTGTTTGCTAAAAATAAACGATTGTCTGAGCATAGCTGCAGCAGACGATCACCATTATCTGTTCGCTGTGTCGGAATACTAAAATATCCACCTAAATGCCTTTCTGTTTGGTTTAAACTACCTATCTGAGCATTAAAATCACCTGCTACGAGTACTATGTCTGAGCGTTTAGCTTTCTGAAGAAGTTCGGACAGCTTTCTGTAAAATTCATCTTTCACTTCATCTGAGCTGCAGTCAGTGGGAGCGTAGGCAGAAACGACAAAAAGGCAACGACGTGTGTCCCTATCCTTCCGAGTTCTTACGTAGCCGTTCAGCCGAACAGCACATAGACGACTGTTGACGGGGATCCACTCTAGCAGTGCTTGTTCCGCCCTCATGCTTAGTGCTATGCCTACACCTGCCAGTCCACGAGAACTGGCCATCGGGTCACCAGATACACGGAGGGTGTATCTCGTTGGCTCTCCGTTTGCCGAGGTGAGGTCAAGTGAATGACCACACTGGAATCCTGTATGCGTGTTTCGGAGACACAGCATACATCAATGGAAAGAGACTCTAGGGTTTTAGCCAAGGAAGCCTGCTGACCGATTTGACATAGGGTGCGTACGTTGAAGGCTCCAATGTGTAGTTTGGAGCGAGGTTTCAGTAGACCTGGGACAGTGTTTTGAGCACTAGAATCGTTGGCTATGGTGACACTTGAGGGGGAAGCCGAAAAAGGAAGTTAAGAGTTGAAAGTCGATGTAGGAGGAATAATAGGAATTGAAGAGGAGGTTGATTATGAATACAGTGGTCTTGAGTGCTGTTAGAGGTATGAGGGCGGTTATCACTTCCCGGTTGCCCACACCGTGGAAGGGTTGTTCTGGAGGTACCTGAAAAGGAAATTGGATTAGAGGTGGTCTTAGTGACCTGGGAGCGTGACCGCAGTGCCCAAGGGACAACTGCTTGAGGTCGGTCACACACGACCTTTTCATGGGTAATTTTTGTGTTAGCTCCGTACTTTTTGGGACCTTACCGCCGGAGACGGATATCCGTGGGATAAGGCGAGGTGTGCATTTTTAGGGTCGACCTTTTCTAACCCCACCCCTCCTTGTGGGAAGGCAGCATCGCTGTCATGCTGGTTGTCTGAAGGAAACACCTTACTGCTGTCACACCTCTGTACAGTCAGCAGTACGACTTCGCCTTCGGACCTTGGGTTTGTTGCTTTTAGTCTTACCGCTCATCAACCGACCTGTCTGACATGGTAGGATGTGTCTTCCTTAACTGAAAGATTTTTTCTGATTGTACCTTTCCGTTCCCCCATTTTTACCATTATTATTATTACACCACCTTACATTAATCTCTTCGTTACCATTCTCTCTTTTTTTCCTTCCCCTTAAATTCTCATTGTTTTGTGTGGCGCATTCTTGTACCAATATTTATGTGTTCAAATAAATAAATAAATAAATAAACCGAAGTAGGTTGTTTTCTTTGGGAGTCACATCCAGAGCCTTCGACCTTAAGGTCTAGTCAACAAGGCAGTAGAGCAACGCCAGGAGATGCAGTCCCATGGTAGCCGATGACCAACGATTGGTCCATACGCCACTTGTTCCTTCAGGATATTGAAGTCCATTGGTTTGGAATTAGGGTTTTTCAACTCACCTAGGTGGACTCTTTGTGTCCACCAACCCGGTTAAAGCGTCAGACATTCGCTTATCGTCCTCTCAATTTCTTAAAAAATACACCCCCGCCACGAGGCATTGAGTAGGACTTCCCTGGCAGTGGTTGTACGCATGTGGCCATGTGAGAGCATTTCGAGAGAGCTGACTCTCCCCACCAATGTACAGAAACAAATCAGGAAGGGTAAAGAGAGTAACCCTTTGTTATCAGTGATATTCTGCAGACAATGAAAAAATTGCTGCATACTAATTATGGGGTATACATCATCAATGCATTGAGAACTGATGATGGACCACTGAGAATAAGCTGTACATAAAGATGAAGGTATCGGGGACTAAATGTCTAGCTGTACAATGGAAACACTACAGCATCATATGCTAATCGTTTTTATTTCTGATACAACAGAATGGTGTTAAACTGGCTATGGAGGTTTGTGTGTATGATGATCCAATGCAGTTACATGGTAGCCTGTGACTAGTATGGGCTAAGTCCTTGAGCCCATGGATAGCATTTATTTGGGAGTTGGAGTTTCGCAACTCTCTTAGGTGGTTATTCGCCAAGCTATTCGGGTCATAACTGTGAGTGCTGGTCGAATTTCATCAATCAAATTGGAATGTGGCCACTACTCTAAGTGATTAAACATTGCATGCAGCACTTTGAGACGTTATGTGCTAAGAAGTTACAAACAGAAACATCAATAACTTCACGAGGCCATTATATTAAACAGTAACGTCAAAAAGTATTTTCAGAAGGGGTTTTGTGGAGATTTTAGAAATTTCATTGGTTGAAATCATGAGTCAATTGAAGCTAGACCACCATGGAAAAACTGGAAGCACTGAACGGCTGTTTCGTCCTAGTATGGGACTCCTCAGCAGCACGCGTCCACGACCTCGCCCCCTGCGAGATTCGAACCCAGGACCTACTGGTTTCGCGCGCGAGCACTTAACCACTAGACCACTGAGCCGGCGTCCAACGGTGTTAATGTCTAACTTCAACCAATCCACGAAGTTGAGCCACCGTACACCATTGGCCATCCAGTGCTTCCAGGTTTTCCATGGTGATCTAGCTTCAACTGACTCATGATTTCAACCAGTGAAAAAGTATTTTGTTTGAAAATATCTGGTTGTATCTAAACAAACCACACGAGAATTCTACAAACCTTACTGGTGTAGAATCGTATTTATTACATGGTGAAATACAGTGTCAAGTATGTTATGTATAGATTCGGAAGTCGAGCAGGTGAAGAAAAATATATATGTGCATCATTTACTTTAACTAGAACATACCATTGGAGGAAATTTATTCTCATCATTCATTTTAATTTGTGGAGAAATATGATCACTGGTAAATGGTGACGATTTGTTTACGATTGGTGTAGATGGAGACATAAACATTGGAAGCAGTTTACATGTACGACCATCGGTAGTTGGTGTATTAGACTTTTTCAAGTGATTCGGGGGTGTATTCGAACAATCGTTAAATGAATACGAACTATTTGTTGTTGACAGTGAATTGGGATATTTAGTCGAAGCGATTTTCAGTCTTTCAGATTCAGTTACAAGTAATATACGTATGAGTTTAAAGGCTCCTCTACCTCGTAAACTTCCTCCTGCATATAAGGGCTGGTAGATAGGATAGAAAATAAGGAAAATTGGCATTTAAATTGTAGACGAAATATAAAGTCGGATAAAAAAAAAAGACTACACAATTGAGAGTCATACAGAATAAACTATTCAGAAATATTATTACTATTAAACCACTTACCAGGTGTAAATTTATGTACTTGATTTCGAGTCACACTTTAAGTCTGAGGGCTAGTGATACTACCTGGCTGTCTAAGATTAAAGTAGGTGGAACGGGATCCTAACCAGAGACGTAGTGATTGAAGGTAGAACACCTTAACCACTGAGCCACTGTTCTATTTCAGAAGCATAGATCACCATGGAATTCTAAGGTGTAGTAATGCCGCTACAAATGGTCAGTCAGTCATAGACAACTTAAGTAGGGATTAAAATACACATCTGTTTAATTTGCGATACCAATGTTAGCACAGGGAAGGTAAATTATCAGGGAGAACACGAAAAACCCTGTAATCATCAGCAAAAGAAACTTCATTCAACTGTCTGTTGTTCAAATTATAAACTCGGCTAAATAAATCAAATTAATTATCCTTTACTTCTAATCTTAAAATTGTTCTTACATATATGATCACAAAGTATTACAGCATAGAAATTTTCGAAATGTCAATTATTCAAACGTTTTAATGCAACTCACTTATTAAGTACAAGTCTGCATATTGTCTTTCAGACACACCGTTTTAGGGCTGACTGTAATATCTGGATACTCCACAATCATAGTTGGTGGGAAGAGGTTTGAACTGCCCATGTAAAGACGACAAGCCAAGTGTTGCAAACCACTATGAAACTGTCTCACATTCAAAAATAAATAGACGGCTTCTTAACATGAACTCAAACATTAAAGATGTCAAATACCAGAGAAATAACTGGTTATGTGTGCTATTTTTTAGGATCTATTTCATGCAAATCTGAACTTACTAGTGTTTGTACTAAATGTTTAGCTATTTTTAGGTTTGATTTGCTAAAACTTCCAACGCAATAAAGTTTAACTAGTTCAACTGATAATCATTAGCTGTAAAAGATATTTTATATTTCATGAGATATTTATAATTTTCAAGATAGTAAACAAACTAACAGTTGAATACTCATAGATGCGCGTATACAGCATCTGCCAGGGAAGTCCTACTCATTGCCTTCTCGTGGCAGGGGTGTTGTTTACGAAAATGAGAGGACGAAAAGCGAATGTTTGGCGCTTTAACCGGATCACAAACCAATGGTGCACATGGGCTCCAGTATCCTGAGGGAACAAATGGCGTATGAACCAATCGTTGGTCACCGCCTACCATGGGATTGCATCTCCTTACGATCCTCCACTGCCTTGTGGGTTAGACCTTTAGGTCAAAGGCTCGGGGTGTGGCCCCCTAAGATAACTACCTGCTTCGGTTTGGGCACCCGGGCAGTATCACAGCCCACACACAAATGATGAACTCTTTATGTCTATGGAAATTACTTTTCTCGCTTCGAAAAACAATCAATTGATTCAAATTATTACCATTACAATTATTGTCATTATTAATACTATTATTGGAGACTCAATTCGAAAGATGAGTCTGTATAAACGATATGTAGACGAAATACTATTATTATTATTACTATTATTGTCATTATTATTATTATTTTCCACATTATTCACTTATACAGCAGCTCGTCTTTGGTGGAAATTCGACTGTATCTAAACGTTCTCGAGTCACTGTCCGGTTGAAAATTGTATGTTACCACCGAATATGACTACTGAAGCAGTTTTTCTGAAACCACGTGCACCATTCAAACTGGCTGCCTTCAACGTTCGCACACTTATGCAGGTTGGACAACAGATAGGGCTGGCTATGTCTTTGGAAAGTCTTAATATCGACGTTTGTTGTCTATCCGAGACCCGTATTCAAGACTCTGGCGAAGTACTACAAATTCGATCTCCATCTGTCGCTTCGAAAAGCTTGTTTTACGTGCGCTTATCCGGGGACCCTGTGGCATCTTCGTCTGGTCTTGCTGGCGTTGGTGTCGCACTAAGCGCTAGAGCTGAGGCAGCACTAGTCGATTGGATCCCCATTAACAGTCGGTTATGTGCTGTTAGATTAGAAAGTTCCATCAAAGTGAGAAGAAATCGGCGTGAGAAACGATGTCTTTTCGTCATCTCCGCCTATGCCCCGACAGATTGCAGCCCGGATGCAATCAAGGATGAGTTTTACCACCAGTTATCTGTTCTTCTCCAGAAAGTGCGTTCGACAGATATTGTAGTACTAGCCGGAGACTTGAATGCTCAGGTCGGGCGTCTAGGCACAGAAGAGAGTCGTTTAGGTGGCCGATGGGGACTTGTTGGTCGCAGGTCAGATAACGGGGACCGTCTACTGCAACTCTGCACAGACCACAACCTGTTTCTGGCTAGCACTAACTTTCGGCACAGTCATCGCCGATGTGCCACCTGGCGTCCTCTCTCTGCATCTCAAGCCTGGACTCAGATTGATCACATCGCGATCAGCTACCGCTGGCGTGGTTGTGTACAAGACTGCCGCTCCTTTTGGAGTACCTATCTGGACTCTGACCATGCCTTGGTCTGCGCCAATCTTACCTTACTTTTCAGTGGACAACGAAGTGACCGCCATCAACGGATTGATGTTAGCAAGCTGGTTGCAACTTCTGTTGCAAGTAAGTATCGAACCGAGCTAGCCTCTAGGCTAGCTACCACTCCACCGAAAAGTATAGATGAGCATTGGTTGCAATTGCATGACGCCATGAAAATGGCGGGAACAGTCAGTTGTGGGTTTGCGAAACGTCCCGCTTATAAGCACTGGGTTTCTTCTGGTTCCTTACAACTCATTGAAGCCCGTCGGTCTACTCCGGGTGACCGTGAGTTTGACCATAAACGAAGGATGTTACGTAAGGAAATTGGGCAAAGCTTGCGTAAGGACCGAGAAGCCTGGTGGTCGGAGCGTGCTAATGAGCTGGAAGCAGCAGCTGCATCTGGTAACTACCGGAAGCTCTTTCAACTCATCCGAGCCACTGGCAGCAAGAAGTCTGGTGTGAGTGAAACAATCTGCGAGGATGATGGGATGCCAATCACTAACATCCATCGACGTCTTGGACGATGGGCAGAATTTTTCGAAGGGCAGTTCAACTGGCCTGCTGCTCCGGCAACATCGGTCAGACTGTCCTGCCCTCCATGGCCGGTGACGACTGATCCACCAAATAAGGAGGAAGTCCGCAAGGAACTCCAACTCTTGAAGCGTTACAAATCACCTGGCCCAGATGACTTACCTCCGGCTCTTTTTAAAGATGGTGGTGACTTTTTGACTAAGGAATTGACGACGTTGTTTACAAAGGTTTGGGAACTAGAGAGTGTACCAACGTCATGGAATGAGTCGATAGTTGTCCCTATCTTTAAAAAGGGTTCACGTCGTTCCTGTAACAACTATCGGGGGATAAGTCTACTTCCGATTGCGTCCAAGCTATTGGCTTCCGTCATACTTCGTAGGTTGTTCAAAACCCGAGAAAGATTGACTCGCGAGGAGCAGGCTGGGTTTCGTTCTGGTCGAGGATGTATTGATCATATCTTCACCCTCCGCCAAATGTTAGAACATCGCCATACTTATCAAAGGCCAACAATCGTAGTGTTTCTTGACATCAGGGCTGCCTTCGATTCGTTGGACAGGACTGTTCTCTGTGATTGTCTATTGAAGAAGGGTGTGCCTGAGAAGTTTATTAACATCCTAAGACTGGAAGGATTCTAATCCTGTACTCACCCTGGATGGTGAGCAGATAAAATTAGTCGAGAAGTTCGTGTATCTAGGTAGCTGCATAAGTGCTGGTGGGGGTGTGAGTGATGAGATCAATGCACGTATAGTGAAAGCCAGAGCTGCTTATGCCAATCTGGACCACCTTTGGCTCCTTCGTAATGTCAGTCTGGCTGTAAAAGGTCGGACCTAAAACGCTTGTGAAACCTGGTCTCTCCGAGTTGAGGATGTTAGACGACTCTCTGTGTCCGATCATCCTTGTCTCCGGAGGGTTGTTGACATCCAGTGGCAACACCATGTCGGTAATGCAGAGGTTCGGCATCGTGTGTTCGGGCCGAGTGACAATAATCCGATTGGTGTCACCATTTTGAAACACCGACTTCGGTGGCTTGGACATGTTCTACGAATGTCGTCCCAGAGAATTCCACGTCGCGCATTATTTGCCGACTCTGTAACTGGTTGGAAGAAGCGCACAGGTGGTCAATGCATGACATGGTGTCGTGGTATGAAAGAAAGCTGCAAAGGACTGGCTTGTGTTGGTCCTTCACGACTCCCTGGTTGGGGTCCGAGAGATGGTGCAACACGGTGGCTAGAGACGTTATCAGATATGGCTCAGAATAGAAGCCAGTGGCGATCCTGCTGTAACCTTCTTTTACTTTCTTCATAAAAATGTGGATGTGTCTTTCTTAAGTGAAAGATTTCTTCTGATTGTACCTTTCCGTTCCCTCGTTACTACCGCACTACCTTACACCAATCTCTTCGTTATTGTTCTCTTTTTCCTTTGCGCTCCTTAGTTGTTTTTTCTATTTCACTTCGAATTCTCATTTTGTGTGGCGCATATATATTGGCGCTCTCTTGTACTAATATTCATGCGTTCAAATAATAATAATAATAATAATAATAATAATAATAATAATAATAATAATAATATTAAAAAGGTTTTTTGAATCATTTACACTGTTTTTCATTAACTGAAGGATTACATATCAACTGCAATTACATGATCTTGTCAAACCTGTGAAAACTATTTATTTATTTGAACACGTAAGTATTGGTACAAGAGGGCACCAGATATATATGCGCCACACAAAACAATGACAGTGAGAAGAGAAAAAGAATGTAAGGTGCGTATAAGAGAGAAGAAAGGGAAAAACAGGGAACAATAACGACCACAGACTAGTGTATGGTAGTGTAATAATAATAGCATCTGGGCTACCTGTTCCTGCCATCTAGATATTTCAACAAGTTATCTATTTTTGTTTGTTTTAATATATCATTATGTCTATTAATCGCACAACCTATTCTGCTGCGTTTCTGAAAAATGTACAACCTTTCGTTATCAAAGTTACAAAAAGCTCAAAAAGAGAGAATATGGTTGCTGGCAATATACAACGAAAAGAATGTACATCATTCCCATGTTCATTTACCGGACTGATAACATCTAGCTGGCGACCACTCAGTATTTATCGCGAGGACCGACCAAGAAGAAAGAAACGGAAACTTGTTGAAATACTTTATGCTGAGAATTCTATATTGTACCAATAATATAATATTGAATAAAGCTAATAATAATAATAATAATAATAATAATAATAATAATAATAATAATATTAAGGATAATAATAATATTAAATAATGATAATAATAATATTACTGATAATAATAATGGGGGAAACGGAAAGGTACAACCAGAAAGAAATATTTCAGTTAAGGAAGAAACAACCACTTTTTATGAAAGTAAAAGAAGGTTACAGCAGGATCGCCACTGGCTTCTATTCTGAGCCATATCTGATATCGTCTCTAGCCACCGTGTTGCACCATCTCTCGGACCCCAACCAGGGAGTCGTGAAGGACCAACACAAGCCAGTCCTTTGCAGCTTTCTTTCATACCACGACACCATGTCATGCATTGACCACCTGTGCGCTTCTTCCAACCAGTTACAGAGTCGGCAAATAATGCGCGACGTGGAATTCTCTGGGACGACATTCGTAGAACATGTCCAAGCCACCGAAGTCGGTGTTTCAAAATGGTGACACCAATCGGATTATTGTCACTCGGCCCGAACACACGATGCCGAACCTCTGCATTACCGACATGGTGTTGCCACTGGATGTCAACAACCCTCCGGAGACAAGGATGATCGAACACAGAGAGTCGTCTAACACCCTCAACTCGGAGAAACCAGGTTTCACAAGCATAGAGCAAAACTGCTCTCGCTGACGCCACCACCAGCACTTATGTGGCTACCTAGATACACGAACACAAATAAAATGAAATGACAATGTGAAAACTGTCATATTCATTGATTTCCAAAGTTCTCTAAAATGCATTCGTACAGCTGTCATGATATTATCATGGTCCTTCTTGAAGTACATAGCTAAATCTCCTTCGGATATAACTTCAAGTCAAAATGACTGATTAATCTTTTGTAACATCAAACAAATGATGATTGACTTAGACACTAACCCTTAACAAGATAAGGCAAATCTTTGAAGCAATCCGATTTGACTAGGTAGAAATTGGATATCAAAATCATTTACGTATATTAATTCCAGCTCCCTTGTATTTTTGTACACTTGTTTAGAATTATTATTTGAAATATCAACATATGAATGAACATAACTCGAAAACACATCCAATGAAATAGTACAAATTTTAAAAAATTTCAAAAGAACTCAAGATCAAAACTCACTCTGTCTGGTGTATCACGGCACATGTTTGAAATAATATTTGTGGAAGACAATTGATATATTCGTTTAACAAGACTATCGCAGACAGTAGGGATTTCTGAAAAGTTGATAGTTGTCTTCATTTTTCCATGCATACTTTCATCAACTACACCAGGTTTCCGCAAAATACTACATGAAACACGAATACATTGACATACAGATTTCACAGCGTCATCAACGGTCATTAGTGAATTAGCAGTGCCCGACGCCAACAAACTATCATCAGCAGCCCCAGACAATACATCGTGACACCTATTGATAGAATCCACCAGATGAATCAAACCTGAAGACCACCGACGAAGCGGATGATCACATTCGGGAGCGTAGCTGGAGTCCCTCAACCTCATGCGACCAACAAATGAGATGGCTACCTAAAACAACGAGAATATTGTAGTGAAAATTCCCATTTTGCCATCATGGCTCTACACTAATTTATATATGTTTTACAATAATAATATAATACTCGAGTGGATACGTTACGTAATAATTACATGATAACATTTAAACTAACATTGAGTAATTGGAAGAAAGAGGATTATTAATATTTAAAGTAATTATTAAATCAAGAAGTTGCTACGTTGCGTAATATAAGAAACAGAGAAGGAACAGAATTTTAACGGATGTTCAATAGGGTAGTAGTTACGTAAAAGTCAAGAGATCAATGTTGAGAAGTTATAAAGTTCAAAAGCAATAGAAACAAAATTACAAAAATTAAAAAAAAGAAGTGGAAGTATGAAAAAAAGTTCTTATGACGGAAATCTTATACTGAAGGCCAGGGCAGAGAAAGTGGTTGTACGAATTTCTTTTGGATGCAAAGGTCAGGTTTGTAAGATGGATTGCGATGGCTTCCGCAATGTGCAAAAGGTGCACTGGTAAACCATGTGGTAGATTTGATGGAATATTGCAGATAACCTTAAACGCTTTATTCAATCCGACTTGATGACCTGTGTCAACCAAGTGAGAGAGAATAGAACTTTTAATCACTTTCACCTGTCCTTTGCCTAGCCATGTCGGATGATGTTCTGTAATGCGGTGACGGACCTGCCGAATTGTACGCCCTATGTAACTGGCTCCACAGGAGCAGCTGAAACGATAAATACACATAGATTTGGCGAATTCTGGCAGTCTGTCTTTAATGGATGTTCTTATTTTCGGGTGGTTGTAGAAGATGAAGAACTAATTGAAAAGAAATTTCTTCGCTCAACGAAAATATTAGTTGTTGGAGTAACCTAATGCAAAATATAATGAAATAGAAGACAGTTTGTTAATTCAACCAAATCAAGTTGCTGAAAAGCGATTATGAAACTGCTTAAGTGTAGAACGGACATATCTGTGAGAATTCAACAATGTCGACGACTGACTGGATTCTACTCATACAACCTGAAACTTTAAAATGAAAAAAATTCACAAAAATATAACAGTAGGTTATTATTCAAAAACGTTCATCTCAACTAATTGCGATAAATTCCAAAAAAATATAATTCAAGTTAATATAAGTGTAAATGCACTAACTTGAGTAACTGATAGATTATCTTGCAGAGCCAATTTTCGAAGCGATGTAAAAGTTTGTTCATTCAATGCTCGGTAAGGCAGGTTAAATATTCGTAAAAAACGTAAGGAATCCTTAATGTTAACTGCAAGTCCAAGATAACTGAGAAGGGTTTCAAGTAAGACACATTCCTAGATAAGTAAAATAAGTATAAAAAGATGACTTGCCTTGTACCGGGTGTTGAAATCAATCTCACATTGCCGAAGACAATAGAATTTGCTTTCAGTAGCTGAAAGACATGGAAAGCATAGGTGTGGTACATTAAAACCTGCCATAATTTCAACCATTAGATGCTGTTTGATTGTATTTTATAGCAATCATCAATCAACTGATTACCTCAAACCAATCTAATTTGTTCGACTGAACAATATAACGATAGTAGAATAACTTAGTTTTCAGTGCAGAATTTTCAGAGAATTCCTTCAACAAGCGACGAGCAATTAAAATCCGGTCAACTAAATTATTAGCCTTCAGGTATTCGTCAACCTTAGTACAAAACATGTATTCATTGTCGTCTACAAGAATTCGATACCGATAAAGACGATGGCGACACATTCTATACCAAAAACGCGATATGTCTTCTTGTTTTATAGGGTACTGTAGGCAAAAAGGTTTAAGGCAAAATGTGCAAACTTTATCTTTGTCAAAATCACGTAGGACAAGTTGAATTAGCGTCAATTCGTCCTTGGGTAATATGTAGGTTTCTGTTGAAGAACCTTCAAGATCGAATTCCTGATGGGTTTCATAAAGAAACTGGATCAGAGAATAGGCGTTCTCATAGACTTCTGATCCCCCGTATGAATTTAAACCAATAAAAACCGGTGGATAATTTGACATACTCTAAAATCCAATAAATAATGATCCGTTGTGTATGAAATATTAAAATTCAGTCCCAACAGAGGAATCTGTAAAAGAAATGGAAATAGCGTTGGTTGTCTTTTTGAGAAGAAACTTCACAATTTTTCAATCTTGGGAAAAAATTTGCCAACTTCATGAAAACCTTGTAGAGGCTTCAAAAGAACATTTTGGCACGTGTAATGAAAGTCAGGGTAGCATGTGCCAATCTGGGCCACCCCTGGCGCCCTCGTGGTTAGTCAGGCTATAAAAGGTCAGATCAACGAATCGGTGAGAGAAGTTCTGCCCTATGCTTGTGAGACCTAGCTTCTCCAAGTGGAGGATGTCAGACAACTCTGTGTTCGATCGTTGTCCCCGAAGGATTGGTGACATCCATTGACAACACCATCTTAGTAATGTAGAGGTTCGGCATCGTGTTCGAGCACAGCGATGACAATTTAGTGTCACTATCTTGAAATACCAACTTCAATGGCTCGGATATTTCCTACGAATGTCGTCCAAGATAATTCTTCGTCGTGTATTATTTGCCGACGCTGGGATTGATAGAAAGAAGAGAAGTGATCAGTATGACATGGTGTTGTGGCATGAAATTTGCACAGGACTGGCTTCTATTGGTCCTTTACGACTCCTTAGTTGAGGTTCTAGAGATGGGGCAATATTGGTTGATATCTTGTTAGACGTGGCTCAGAACAGAAGTCAGTGGCAATCCTGCTCTAAATTTCATCAAAATGAAGGTAAATTCTGTACTTAAAGTAATTATTTCCGGTTATACTTTTGCTAATCGAACTGTTCCTATATTATCATTATTATTCCACTCATACATTAATTTCTGTTTTTTGTTGTTCACTCATTATACGCGCTTTACATTATCCCTTCACAGCCTCATTATTGTTGTGTGGCACGTACGTATTTGGTTCCCCTTATAAGCACTGCTTGTGTTCAAATGAATTTAATAAAACCATCAAATTCCAATAGGACTGAAGTTATTCCCCAGAATTTTGTATAATTTCGAAGAAATTCACAAAACGTTTAGAGGAAATTTAGGTTTTCTCCAAAATTAACAAAATATTTGAGAAAATTCATTGAAGTTCACCAATAAAAATTTTAAGCTTCCCCACAGTTTAGGAAAAACGTATGAACTTCATTGTGAAGCACCAGAACTTTCTGTGTATATGAGCGTCTTTTTTATTTGCAGTTTATTTCGCAAACTTAACGCAATTCAAATATGGTCGCGCGATTGTTTTTAACATCAACTTGTCTGTTGTAACAAACATTTATAAAGCCCTGATTAACGTCGCTTGCATAAACATTCCACACGTAACTACGTAAATGATTCTCAGGAGATATAATGTGGACATGCAATCAATCAGTCAGTCAGCTACAACGTAGGACCAGGCACATATATGCATCGGTCCCAGTTGCCACACCTCATTAGCACAAGATGAAAATCAAATTCATAGTAGCTACTTTACTGGTAGTAATATACAATATTTGTGTTCAAATAAATAATAATGAATAAGTAATATATTAAAAAAGAATGCATAAAAGGACACAGGAAGAAAGAATTAGTTCGTAGAAAGATATAAACCAATTTTAGTCTCACAGTTTAAGGGAAGATAATGAGTGTATACACCTACATCATTGTGATCTATTCTGAGCGATGTCACACACAGTCTCAAACCATTGGTTACGATAGTCACGCGGACCCCAACCAAGTAGTCTGCATTTACCAACATGCCAAATACCAGAAGTCAGTGACTCCAAGGAGTGATGCCTCGTTTTGGTGTGGCCGTCACTAACTTTTTTCCAACCAACCCCAACACTAGTCAGCATCGCGCGTCGTGGTAATCGGTGTTCAGCCATACGTTGTAGTTTCTCTCTAGACAGTGGGGTGTTGCTTGCTTTCCCCTGGTGTATGGGAATGTATGGGGAAATATTAGTAGACACCCAGTTCTGAACTAATACCGGTGCTTAAACTAACAGAATAGGAAAAATTCTTGAACTTCCACACGCATTTCCTCAGGATTTCCATAAAACTTAGTGAAACTCACAGAATTTCCCCATAGTAAGGTAATCGGATGTTAATCAATTAGCAGTAATGCGAGATAACACACAAATGAGAATCGGTAAACTATAAACAAACATAAAGCATGAAGTCAATCATAAGTGCATGTACTTGAAAAGGGAGGAATAAAATAAATCTGAACTACGCCCAGTCACACATGGGCAACGCTTCAGGGGTATCGTTGACTGATGAGGGTTGTGAGCACCTGAAGGTCAAGCTGTCGCAAGATGATTGGTGCGTCACATCGACAATTCGTGAGGTTTTTCAGAAGCGGTCAAATCAATTCATCTTTAGATTTAATTGAGTTCAGCCACACCATGTTTGATAACGTCCATTCTTCAAGTAACGAAGACGATTCCATCGTGATGATGCATGATAACAAAACATAATACTTTGTTCATTCCATGTCTTTTTCAGGAAGGTATGTGTTATCTGTACAAATTATTTTCTGTAGTTCCGAAATCCTGATGTACGCAAATGCTTGGAACAGCTTGTAAAGACTAAGTGGTCTGATACGCGAGCTTCGCTTTTCATAACACATATTCAGTTTTACTCGGAAGTACGAACATCTAAGGACGCATTTCCCACGGGCGTATGACTATATAAAAGATTATTGGATTGCCCGGAAGTCAATGTCCCAAGCTGCCAGCTTTGGGGAAATCCCCAAAGTGAAATAGCCTTCCCCAAAGTTTGGGGAAATTTAGCGGAAATCCCCAAAATGTTCGTAGCGCGTTTTTGCACACTAACATTTCATCTACATAATATAAATAAGCCTCAAAGTAGTAAATTTGAATAAAAAAATTTACATTTTAACTCAATACGTAGGCTCGCTGTTACCGACGACATGTATTAAACCTGGGCAACCACACAAACAACCGTGTCGAAAGTGCTCACAAACACTTAAAATTGTTTCAGAAGATGTGATTCTCTGTTATTGACGTTCTGGAAAATTTGAAGCAAAACAGACATTGACCTACGTTTGCGTCCATATGACGCTGTAAAAGATCTTCAAAGTTTTCCAATTCTTCAGGTAAGAAATACATTTAGATGTGTCATTAATTCCAGGTTCCAATGTGACCTGCTATTACTGATGCCTATTTTATTTCAGTCCGACGTAAGATATGAGTAATTATCATTTACGTCATCAGCACGTAACCTCGACAGGCCTTGGTTGACTTTCGAAGATCATCACATACGATCTCACACAGTCTGGTCACCTAAGATCAAGATATCTTGATTATCGAACCGTACTTGTCAATGCTTTATACTAGTACTTATTTCTGCTATTAGCTATTTTTGCAAGAATACCGGCAGCCAAAACATTGTAACTCTGCGCGAGAGGTAGTAAAGCTATCATAGCTTGATCTCTGGCAAAATCTTCACATAATTACACCTCTTCCGCATGATTATGATTTATTAACTGTGATATAATCATCTGGTGGCCAATATATCTAACTGAAGAAGGTGATATTAAAATCTTGGTATGTGTTAATATTGTAGCGGTAAATAAATCCCCAAAATAAATAGCCCTGTAAGTTTTCGACATTGGATGCTGACCATATGTTTTAGTGGACTCATCTAGCTGAAGGCGCTCGGTCAGGCATCCGCACCAGATCACGTGTGGTAACGCCGTGCTCAACATCAACCGCAATCGCTAGCCAGATTAGATCAGAGAATTCCGATATATTGGTCATCGCCAAATATACTCTTCCGATCTCCTCGACTCTGTCTTTTGATTTCTCTTGGTGGGAACGAAATATATTAGAAGGTGTTACTGGTAGAAGCGTTGTCAAACACTGAATACCTGTGACATCATCATTGGTGAGACCGTCGTGATCTGGTACACCTTATTGCAACTGTGAGTCTGTTCCTTTTTGGGATTTTTATATATCATTGCCTTATTTTTTATTTTTTTTAAACATTGTGATTTTTTTTCGTGTTTTTCTTGGATATATATATATTTTTCCCCTCGTTCATTATCGTACTTCATATTTCATCATGACTGAACAGACACCTAAAGTACTCAAGCTTAAGACCTTGTCCCCACCTTCGTTTCAACTGATGCCTTTCTGGCCCGACAACATCGAAGCCTGGTTTTGCTACGCAGAAGCCGACTTCTCCGAGCACGGCGTGATCGACACACGTGCACAATTCCTCGCAGTAGTCAAGGCACTACCGCGCGAATTCAACAGGTACGTAACACCTAGTATGTTTACTAGTGATGTTTCCGATCCTTACGAAATCTTAAAACGCTCGATTCTTAAACGAGGAGACCTAACCGATCGACAAAGGTTAGATCAACTCTTCAATAACATCGACCTGCAACACGGTTCTGCGACAGACATGTTGCAACGGATGAGAGAGGTTATAGGCCCAAGAACTTTCGACGAAGGTCTATTCAAACAACTCTTCTTGTCAAAACTTCCCCAACAGGTGCAAGCAGTTCTGGTCTCGTTCCAGAACAACGCCTTAGACGAGCTAGCTGCATCTGCCGACCGCATTCTAGAAATTACGAAACCTACTACCGAGGTATTTTCAGTCAAAGAAAAGCCTCACACGACTCAGAATGATATAACCGACTTATGTCACACACTCACGCGTTATCTTAGTCTTCGTACCGACCGTAAGAGATCGCGCACACCACGTAGAAGCATTTCTCGTAAGCGATCTGTCTCTAGACCACGAGAGACAGATAACCCCGACTGGTGCTGGTATCATAACCAGTATGGAAAGTTTTCCAGAAATTGCAGAAAACCCTGCAATTTTCCCAACACGAAACCGACTGATTCGAAAAACAATTCGGGAAACTTCCAAGCCGGCACGCGTTAACGGCAACCGTAGCCGGCGAACAAAGCCGTCTGTTATTCGTCACAGATGTGACAACGAGAGTTCGCTACCTCGTCGACACTGGCGCAGAAGTTAGCGTTCTCCCAGCAAATCCTAACGACCGACTTCACGAATCGACTCTAAACTTACAGGCGGCAAACGGAAAACCGATCGCTACGTATGGCAAAAGGTACGTTTACCTTAACGTGGGTTTACGCAAACCCATCCACTGGATTTTCGTCGTTGCAGATGTTTCTATGCCAATCATTGGTATGGACCTTCTACAACACCACAATCTGATCATCGACACTCGCAAACGGAGGCTAGTAGACGGAAACACTAATTTGTCCGTTTGCGTAACTTCTTTTACTGGTTGTAGAGTATCCCCAGTCACAGTTAAACATATGATAGACCCACTCTATCAACCACTACTCGATAAGTACCCTGGGATACAACAAACTCAACCGAAACTACCGTGTGTAACCAGCAATGTTACACATCACATCACGACTACAGGACCACCTGTATTTTCTAAAGCACGACGACTAGCTCCTGAAAAGCTAAGGTTAGCGAAAAACGAATTCGATCACATGATGGACTTAGGAATCATACGACCGTCAAGTAGCCCATATGCATCTCCGTTGCACATGGTCCCTAAAAAGGACAGCAACGATTGGCGTCCAACTGGTGACTATCGGCGATTGAACGCGAAAACCATTCCCGATCGTTACCCGTTGCCTCACATTCACGATTTGACAGCTACCTTGAAAGGTACAACTGTCTTTTCGAAAATCGACTTGGTTAAAGCGTATAACCAAATCCCTATGGCTACTGACGACATACCGAAAACAGCTATCATAACTCCCTTCGGACTCTATGAATTTTTGCGAATGCCTTTCGGTCTAAGGAATGCTGCTCAAACATTCCAAAGATTCATAGACGACGTTTTTCGAGGTCTCAACTTCGTACACGCGTATGTTGACGACTGTCTAATCGCAAGTCCGGACAGAGAAACACATCTCAAGCATCTGGACCTTGTTTTCGAACGATTACAAAAACATGGCATAACTGTAAACGTTCAGAAATGCCAATTTGGAACCGACTCGTTAGACTTTCTGGGACACACTATCGATGCTCAAGGTATCCGACCCCTTAGAACCAAAGTGGCGGCCATTCTGGATTACCCAGAACCGACCACCGTCAAGCAATTACGCACGTTCAACGGCCTGGTAAGTTTCTATAGACGTTTCATACCCAAATGCGCATTACTTATGAAACCTCTGACCGACCAACTTCGTGGAAATGCGAAATCCATTAATTTGGACGACACCGCACGAAAAGCATTCTCCACAGTTAAGGAACTGATCGCTAAAGCAACAATGCTCGCACATCAGGACACCCGAGCACCCATTAGCATCGCAGTAGACGCATCCGACTCGGCAATCGGAGGAGTCTTACAACAATGGGTTAACAACTCCTGGCAACCCTTGGCATTTTTCTCTAGAAGGTTGCTAGACACCGAATCGAGGTACAGCACATTCGGTAGGGAACTCCTAGCTATGTATTGTGCTGTACGGCATTTCCAACACTATATCGAAGGCCGTGAATTCACTCTTTTCACCGACCACAACGTCTTCAATACGTTGCACAAACTTTCTCATCCAGGTGTTCGTGCAACCATCAAGCTTATAGCAGAACGATTTTGCTGGCGTGGCATGAATAAAGACATGAGGGAGTGGGCACGCTCCTGTGTAAGCTGCCAAAAATCTAGGGTTATCAGACACAATAAATCTCCCTCAGGCTCGTTTAAAACTCCCGATGCTCGTTTTGACCATGGTCATCTGGATTTGGTAGGACCCTTACCAGATTCAAATGGATACGCTTACCTCTTAACCTGCGTAGACCGTTTCACTTGATGGCCAGAAGCAGTACCTATCAAGGACATCACTGCTGAAACAGTGGCCCGCACCTTCGTCGAACGATGGGTAGCAAACTTCGGCTGCCCTTCAACCATCACTACAGACCGCGGACGTCAGTTTGAATCTGGTCTTTTCCGTCGTCTGACCACACTTTTAGGAATCGCTCGCTTCCGAACGACCGCCTACCACCCACAAGCAAACGGGTTGGTAGAACGTTTTCACCGACAACTAAAAGCTTCACTATCAGCTGCAAACGTTTCACAGTGGACGGACGCTCTTCCACTCGTCTTACTAGGTATCCGCAATGCAGTGAAAGCTGACGTTGGATACACTGCGGCTCAACTCGTTTATGGAACGACACTTCGACTTCCAGGAGAATTCGTGGATCCTTCGTGCTCTTCGATGAACATGGATCTAACCTCCTACACGAACAGGCTTACAAACGCAATGCGTTCAGTTAAACCTGCTTCCACTCGGCCACAATCAACCGATGTTTTCGTTCAAACTGACTTACGATTTAGTACACACGTTTTCGTTCGTCGAGTCTCGCATCGACGACCATTCG